CCAAGCATCTAGTGCCCACACAGAGGCCTGGAGCAGACGCACGCTCTGCGCTTCCATGTTTTAAGGTTCAGATGCAGAATTTATTTAATTCGGAACCATCAAGTCCCCATGGTCTGTGAACAACCCCGTGAAATCCTCGGGTCCCTGCGGTCGCAGGAACGCCACTGGGTCCTTCTGACTTCAGTGGCCCAAGGGGCAGACGGCGCAGCCTCGGGAGGTCGCTCCTCCCAGCGGGGACCTGCGCTGCCCCTCTCCCAGGACAGGACGGAGAGTGGCTGGGGACTGTCCAGGCAGAGGAGGAAGTGGGGGGCTGGGCGGCCGGGCTGACGGCAGCGTGATGTCAGAGGCAGGCCACAGGCGGCGGCGGGGTGCCCTCCTGGGCCTGGACGCGCCTCCCCAGCGCCCTCCCCGCCCCCCTTAACCCCTTCCCAGCCTCCCTTTCCCAGACAGCCGTCCCCCGGGCCGGCCTTGCCCACAAGATTCCCAGATTTCACAACAGGGGCTGGCGCTGAGTCACGTACAGTAAGTCTGGGGAGGGAAGCTCCCGCTGCCCCAGTCCTGGGAGGGTGGCCGCCACCCGCCCGTCCGCCCTTCCCGGCCAGCAGCAGCGGGAGCCTGGATCTTCCCCGCTGGGCGTGCAGGGCCGGTTGGACAGCCTCTCTGGGCTGTGCCGGGAACCAAGGGTGGCGTGGCTTCTAGGAGCTGGAGGCCCTGGACCCCGGGGCAGGCCTCGGGATCAGGGTGGCCTGCACCCAGTGGTGGCCCGCCCCCAGATGGCCGGTGACCTGGAGTCTCTCACTGTAACTCTACACTGAGGTTTCCTTATCTGGAGAATGGGACAGTCACAGGCTGACCTCCCAGGGTCACCGCGAGGAGAGGATGAAGCGAGATGACCCGACAGCGCTCAGCACAGGAAGTGCCCGCACATGTTAGGGCTGCGGGGATGTCGGTCCCGATGACCCTGGAGACGGTCCAGGGCTCGGGGTCTGTCCCTGTGGGACGGCCCTGCCCCCTGTGGTATGAGTTATGCTTGTCTTTGAAGAAAAATAAAATTCTTCATTCCATCAACAAACATTTATTGAGCACCACTGTGTTCTAGCTGCGTTCACGGGTCCTGCAGACGGTGGGGACAGAACGCAGAGTCCCGTCGCGCTGCGCCGGCCCGGCCGCCTTCCAGGGGGGGAGTCAGAGGGAGGGTTGTGTCTGTGGGTGACCAGGTCAGAGGGGCACAAAGCACAGGCCAGGGGAGATGGAGGGGGCCTGTTCCCGGAGTCCTGGACCCAGAGGAGAAGGCAGCATTGCGGGGTGCGGGGGCTCCAGGCAGGGCCCGGTGGGTTGGGAGGTTGGGACTCTGGGCTGGGTGAGGGGCAGCTCTCTGAACCCGGCCTCTTCTGGTCCCTGACCTGTACCTGTCGGGACAGCCATTTGACAAGGCCTGGCTTCTTCCATCTGGGGACCTCAGGCCCTGGGGCCACCCGTTCACAGTGACAGTCCTCCCTGCCTGGACCCCCCAGAGGGCCAGACCCTGTGCAGAGGCTGCTGTGGGGACCAGGACTGCGATTCCCTCCCGGTGGGCGGGAGGTGGCAGCCCAGGTCCCCGGGTGCCTGGGAGCCGGCCCTGCCTCCCCGAGCCCTGGACTCTGGGTCTCTACCTGGCCTCGCACAGCCCCTGGGAGGTGGCCAGTGGCCTCCTGGAGGGCCCAGGGGGAGGCCTGGCCTCCACAGCCCTGCTCACCCTGGAGGAGGGGACATGGTGGGGTCCCTGGGCCTCGGCTGGGCTTGGGCCAGAGCCAGGGGCCGGGGGGAGCAGGGGCTCCCAGGCGGGGGCGGTGGGAGTGGTTCTGGGCCCAGGCGGGTCCACAGGAGGCCTAGTCGGGGTCCCCGGGTGGTTGGACTTTGTTCATTTATTTTAGAAAAGTCCCTTGCCCTTTCCCCTGGGGCCACGCAGGCCGGGGCAGCTGGCGTGAGGGCGGCTGGAGGGGTCCGTGGCTCTCAGCTTCCTCCCAGACGGTGGGAGGAGCCGTCGGGTCCCGTCCTGGGAACCCGCAGGAAGGGCCGCGGCCGGGCTGGAGGTCCTCGGGACCCCGGTGAAGACCGAGGCCTGCAGAGGCAGGAGGCAGGCCCAGGCCCCAGGAGCAGGTGGCACCCGGGGCTCGTGTCTGCCCAGGCCCCGCCCGCCCCCAGGGGCTGCCTGAGCCAGATGTCTGGGGCACGTTGAGCCCCCACCTGCTCAGCTGGCCTGGGACTGACCCAGGGCTGGAGGCCACGCTGGCTGGGACCCTCCGCACGCCCCAGGCAGGGGTAATTACCGGCGGGGCTAATAGCGCCCACTTCCTGCCCCTTTCATCAGGGCCGGGAGCTGCCAGGCAGTAATTAGCGCGGGCAGCTCTCTGAAGTCAGCACTGGAGGCAGACGTGTCATTAAACCACTTTACAGGTAGGTAAACTGAGGCAGGGCCCACGGCTGGGAGCCTCTCGGTTCCCTTGACTCAGCAGCTCAGCCAGTCTCTGCTCTTTCCACAGGAGGCATCGGATGGTGCCCCTCGCCCCCCGGGCCCTGGCTGCAGGCTGCACCCTGAGGCCACAGGGCACCCACCCCTGCCTTGTCCCCTCAGGCACACAGGGCCCTCGGTTCCCAGTCTATGCCAGGGGATGGAACCTGGCTCTGCTGTGTGACCCCAGACAAGTCACTGCCCTTCTCTGGCCTCGGTTTCCTCCTCAGCCACACGGGGATGATCTCACCACCTGTGTAGTTGGGGCCTGAGCAAAAAGCACAGGACCTGCCTCGTCTGTCCCCTCCGCACCCGACACTCTGGCCACACCATCCTCCTCACTGTTCCCTGAACACACTGGGCCCCTTCCTGCCCCAGGGCCTTTGCAGATGTTCTGTCCCCGGCCTGGCACGGCCTTTCTTCTGATCTCCTCATCTTCCTGGGCTCAAACGTCGCCTGCTCAACCTCAGAGCACCCCTCGGTCCTCGTCCTGCCTGACTCACAGGTCTCACTGCACAGGACAGGAGTCCTGTCTGTCTGGTCCACAGTGTGTCCTCAGCTCGTCAGGGCTGGGCACACAGTAGGTGGCTAGGAAACGGCTGCTCCTCCCCCCTCTTCTCGCTAGCTGCAGGGCCAGCTGGAACCCTCTTTCCCTCTCGGGTCCCCCACGCCCTTTGGGGGACAAAGGGTGGCTGGGCGTGGGTCTCCTGGAAGGACTCAGGTGGTCTTGAAGCCCAGGACCTTGGGCTCCTGATTTCCCGGGCAGTGGCCACGGGTGGACCTCAGGAACAGGTGCGGGGAGATGGGACCCTCTGGCGCAGTCCCCCTCTCCGGGGCCCAGCCCCTCCCCGGGGCGTCTGTCAGCACCCCTGGGGGGAGGATTTGGAAAGGGGAAGACAAAGAAAGGCAGGGGCCGGCCGCACCTGTGTCAACAAGGCATCGAGTGCGCCCCTCCAGCGGGTGCCGGGCCTGCTCCTTGGCGGGGGGCCCCACGGCGGGGTGCAGCCCCGGGAGCCCCACTGCCACCTCGAAGCTGTTCCCAGGCCAGGCCGGGAGACGCTGGCTGACACTCCACTTCCGTCCCCAGAAGTACCGGAACGTTCCTGGGATCGTGGAGCAGCCTCCAGTCCTGGCCGCGGTCCCAGAGTTCTGGAATGTTGGAATCCAACGGCCTCCGGGCGCTCTCCAGGAGGAAGGGGCGCGGGAGGAGGGGACGCGGCCTGGGGACTCCGAGCCAGGGACACTAGGCTGCCGGGGGGGGGGAACAGGACCGCGAACAGGCCCGCGTCCACCCCCTGTTTTCCAGCCACAGCACCCCAACTTCCCACCAGAGAACACTTTTCCCCACTTCAGGCCGCAAGGTTTGGGGGGTGCCTAAGAACCCGGTCTCCAAGAGCACATGTGACCAGCCCTCGCCGCTGCGATTGGCCCAGTCAAGGTCCTGGGACTTGAGTGCGGAGAGGTGGGGAAGGCGCGCAGTGTGTCCCCTGGATGGAGAGTGAGCAAGCGAAGGGCCTAACCCTGCCTGAGAGCCGGACAGGGGCAGAGCTCCTGGATCCAGCTGGACCTGAATCACACACCCTTGGACTCTAATTACAGAAACTGCTACCTTTCCTGGTTTGGGCTGAAAACAGTTTGAAGTAGTTTTCCCTCCCTTATTCCGATGCAGCCATGGGAGGAAGAGAGTCCAAGCCAAGGAAAGGGGCAGCAGCGCCAGGAGGGAGCGCGTAACGGGGGAGGGGCGAGGTGGGCGACAGGAGGGTCTCAGCCAGGGACGCCAGGTGAGAGGCGGAGAGCGGCTGGCTAGCAGAAGGCTGACCACGTACCAGGCTTGGCTGGGCGTCGGGGACACAGGTGGACTGTCCCTCCCTCCCGCCTCTGGAGCAGGCTCCTCCTTCACAGCTCGCCCTGCCCCAGCGCCCTGTGGTTCAGGGGCCCAGCGTTGGGCAGTGTCCACCCGGGGGGCCACCGAGTGCAGAGCCTCACGGGGTCACACCGTGGGGATTATTCCCTCTGCAAACCTTCCAGGATCCTCCCGGACCCCGGCTGTCCCCTCCGTGAGAAAGAGCATCCCCTGCTCCTCCCCTGGCCCAGCTCCATCTCTGGCTGAACCCCCAAACACAGGGAAGAGATGACCTCGGCCTGGCGAGCCGCGGAGCATGTCACCGGCAGGCACTGCACAGGCACAGTGTCACCACCCTGGTGTCCTCTGTCCCCTCCATGTACCTCCCCTTGGAGGGCTCCCCCTCCCGGCTCCCTCCCACACCTAGTCCCACAGGCGTGTGGACTTGGGTTCTGATCCGGTCTGTCCCTGTACACGTGCTACTCCAGGTGCCAGCTGGGGACCCAGCATGAAGATGCACACAGACAGGGCTGGGTGCAGCTCAGGGGCAGCACTCGCCCGGCTTGCATGGGGCTGGGGGGTGAGCGGGGAGAGGCGTGCAGTTGTGCGTGGCTGTAGATGATCCTTTTTGATGGGCACCTAATATTCCCTTGGGCCACATAGTGAGCCATTCACCACTTGAGGTTTATTTGGACCGTTTCCAGATTTCAGCGATTGTGAATAAAGCCATTTAAACATATGCAAACAGGTTTTTGTGTGGACACAAATTTTTGTTTACCCTGGGTAAATTCCGAGGAGTGGCGCTACTGGGTCACGTGGCAGGTGTGTGAGTCGCTGTTGAGCTCTTCCCAAGCGTCTAGACCACTCTGAGCTCCCACCAGCAGGGTATCAGAGCTCCAGGACTCCCGTCCTCTCCAACCCTTGTGTTGTCAGGTGGTTTTTTAAAATATTTTTTAAATTTTAGCCCTTGAAGTAGGTGCCCATCTCACCACATAACTCGCGCATCCCTAATGGTTAATGATACGGCGCTTTGTGGAATGTGACTATTTGCCATTGACACATTTTCTTTGGTGTCGTATCTGTTCCAACATTTTGGCCTCTGTGAAAACGGGACTGTTTACTTGTTAATGGGTTCGGAGCGCTCTTTATATATTCTGGATACTGGTCAGCGCTTTGTCAAATATGTGATCTGCAAATATTTCCTCCCAGCCTGTGGCTGGGTTTCTCGTGTTTTGCTAATAGGTAGACTTCAGTGACATTGTTTTGTTCTGGTTGTGATTATTTCTCTGGTTAACGTTGGCTTGTGGCATGTTCTTTGTTATCTCAATTCCAGTGATAACATCAAATGTTTTCTTTTAAAATAAATTTGAGTTAAAAAAAAAAAGAGTCAGGCAAGTTGAAGGCAAACGAGGTCGGTGTAGTTGGGGTGTAAAGCGGACGGCCCGAGACCCCCCAGGGCGGTCACCTGACCGACCCGCCTGGGGCAGCTCCCATGGATCTGTGGAGGAGCGTCACCGGAACACCCCGCGGGCCTGTGGGCCAGGCTGGGTGCTGGGGTCTCTCACACTTCAGGGCGGCGTCCTCTCCAGCGAGCTCCTCTGCACCCTTCAAAAGCCAATTCGAATGGCCCTTACTCTGCCCAGACCATCCCTGGTCCACTGGTCCACCCTTGTCTCCACAAGGCCCCCGGGGCAGGGGCAAGCCTGGCAGCCTCTGGAGGGTCACAGGGAGCATGGTGCATGAGCACCGGGCAGGAGCTGTCGTAAGAGGCCACGGCTGCTGCTGATCTGCAGAGCTGAGGCCCGGCCCATCCTGGTGCAGCTGGCCCCTGCAGGCTGGGCTCTCCCCGCGGGCTCGCCTCCCCACGGAGAGGCCAGGAGGAAGCCCCTCTGCAAACCCAGGGCCTTCAGGGGCTCCGTTCCCCCTCCGTGCCGTGGACCCCTCTCTGAAGGACTCACGGCCAGGGAACCCTTCACCCTGACCTGCCCCAGTGACCACTTGCCCCTGGCCTTCAGCCACCTGTGCCTGGCTCCTCTACTCTCACTCCATCGTGCCAAGCCCATCCTGCCCCGGGCCACGGTATCAAAAGTCCTCTCCTTCATCTGCTTTCTATCCTGTTTATTTTCTTTATTTCATTCTGTTTATTTTCTTTTTGGTCCTGGGGATTGAACCCAGGGGCACTCGGCCACTGAGCCGCAGCCCCAGCCCTTTCTTATATTTAGAGACAGGGCCTCACTGAGTTGCTCAGGGCCTCGCTAAGTTGCTGAGGCTGGCTTTGAACTCGCCATCCTCCTGCCTCAGCCTCCCAAGTCGCTGGGATTGCAGGCGTGGGCCACCGCGGCCCGCTGTGTATTTTCTTTGCAGCCCTGAACACCTTCATTTCAGAATTCATGCATTTGCTGTTTCTTGTCTGTGTCCCCCAACGATGTCACTCCATGACAGATTTTTGTCTCTCTGCGTTCCCTCAGTGCCTGGCATGGCACTCAGCACACAGTAGGTACTCAATAAGCAGTTGTTGAATGAACGGGCTCAGGTGCTCTCCTCAGATGCACACAGTGTGTCAAGGCGACATCCGCCCTGGCTCAGGCCCGTCGCCCTGGGGCTCCTCCAGCTGGGACCAGCCGGCCTCCCTGCCTCCCCTCTGGCCCCTGGGCCCAGCCCAGAACCGAGTGCTGCCCACGCCCCCAGCCAGCTGCCCAGCTCATGGGCTGCCCATTGTCCTTGGAGGGTACAGGACGGGGCGTGAGCTTCCCGGACTCACACCAAGGGAGAGAGGGGCTCCTCACCCCCTGTCCTCGGGGGCGGCGACCCTGGGCAGGGCCCTTGAGCCCCTTCCCCACCGGCCCCACCTCCAAGCCAGCGGGGCAGCGGCACGGGCTCCTCTCACCTCTGCGCGTGTCTCGCTGACCACCTCCAGCCCGCAAGGCGGTGCCCAGCGCGGGAAGCGCTGCCGGGAGGCGGGAAAGTGGGACGGGGCGAGGAGAAGAGCTGATACCCAGAGTGTCGCCGAGCAGGGACCGAGTGGCGACCGGGGGCTGGGTGAGCGGGTGGCATCCCGCGGGACGCCCCGAGACGCGCATGCGCACAGCGACCTCTCCGCCCGCCGCCAGGTGCGCAGAGCGCGCAGGTAGAGGCAGGTGCTCCCCGGAGAGCGGGGACGGGCACGGCACCGGCGGGGGCCTCACGGTCCTTCTAGGCAGGGGCACAGCTTTTCTGGTTGGGAAAAAAGTTTATGTCAGCATCTGAGCCCCGCGGACGTGCAGGGAGGCGCACGGGAGCGCTGAGCCGCGGAGGCTGAGCCGCGGAGGCTGAGCCGCGGAGGCTGAGCCGCGGAGGCTGAGCCGCGGAGGCTGAGCCGCGGAGGCTGAGCCCGGGCATTTCTTAAGGACGTCCCAAGACCGTCACGGGCAGGCAGCCTCCTCACGCCCCGCCTGGCGGTGGGGCTCAGAGACCCGCTTCTCCCAGCGCCCTTCGTGCCACCCGGAGTCCTTGAGCCGCGCGCATTCCCAGGAGTCCTAGCGGCGCCTGCGGCGCAGGCCAAAGCCCTGTGTGACCTGGGGTTCGCGCTCAACCTCTCTGGGCCGGTCGGATGGTCCCCAGACGCAGGGAAGAGAGATGATCGTGGCCGGGCTGAAAAAGCAGGGGGAGAGGGCAGCTGCTCCTTTGGGCCCCAGACCAAGGCCCAAGACCCGCGGGTCCTGGCGCCCAAGGGCAAGGACCCAGGGAACAGGACGGAGGCCCTTTCCGTCGCGCACCTCGTCAGTGGGGAGGGGGCGCCGCAGAGCGCCCAGCAGCCCCCAGGCCTGGCTGTCCCCGAGGGAGGCGACCCAGGTGCAGGGCCCTTGAGTCGCCTCCCTCGGGACCTGAGGACCCTGGGGAGACTCGCGGTGGTGGCCCATCTTGGCAGGGTCGGCTCCCCCAGTGCCGCAGCTGAGCACGGTGGCCGCCACCCTCCTCCAGCGGTTGGCTTCGACGCTTCTGGGGACCCCAAGAGGAAGTCTGTGGGCGCTGGGGACTGGCCCCCCTCCCAGCCCAGCTCCTTTGCCGACTGGCCTCAAGCACAGCGGGGACTCGGTGGCGCTGTTAAGGTCACTTTCCGGTTAGGGGAGGAGTGTCCCTATTTTCTTCCTGATCGTCCTCCTACGGTTTTTCCTTTAAGAACCAATTTATTGATTCCTGGGGGGGGGGGGCCTTGGCGACATTACACCCCGCGGAGGTGTTCAGAGAGACAGGCCACATCCGTGCCGCCACCTCTAAGAAGCTTCCAGAAGAGACGGCCGCAGCACAGAAGGAAGCCTGTTGCTGCTGAGGGCAAGTGGCGGGCAGCGTGAGGACCGGGGTCTCCTCTGGGGAGGAGGAAAGTGTTTTGCAACTAGTTCAAGGTGGTGGTTGCACAAGAAAAGACCAAAACACACTGGACGGTCGGCTTCCCGGGGTCAATGGGCGGCTGGGGCTTCTCACTCAGTCAGTTACTCTTTAAAACTCAACCAAACAACAGCAGAAATTCAATTTCCTTAAGGAAGAGCCTGGTGGCTTTAGAGAGAACTTCTGAGCGAGGCTTGAGAAACACTGGCCCAGAGGACGAGGCGGGGCCTGGCCAGGCCTGGAAGCCAAGCCTCGCCCCTGCAGCCGCCCTGCCCAGCACTAGGGCCCCGCAGCCCCGGGCGAGGATCGCTGCCCGCCAAGTTCTCGCGGGGAGGAGTCTCCTCACTCTGGACATGTGCTTCACCTTGCTAAGAGGGCCTCGGTTTCCTCATCTGTAAAATGGGTCTAGGGTGCGACCTGGTGGGACGCAGGGACCTTGGTCCACACTTCTGGTCCAGCTCCCATGGCACCAGGGCGGTATTTATTTTCCTCCTGTGCTTCGGCTTTGGGCAAAGTCTTAGCCTTCATGACCTCTGCATTTGTCACTGCGCACAGTAGGTCCCCAAGAGGACCTGGCCGACTGACATCCAAGGAGACTTCCAGAATCCTGTCCCCTGTCTGCACTTCACGGTCCCCACCCTGGTCCAGCCCTGGCACAGCTCACCTGCACCTTTGCAGATACCCCCTTCCCGGCCACCTGGTCTCCGTCCTGTGTCCCTCACTCCCAGCCCGAGGGATCCTGGGAGAAGCTGGTCAGCCCTTCCGCCGCCTCCCTCACTGTGAAAGCTGGAGCCCTCCCTGTGGCACGAGGACCCGCACAGTCTGCCATCCCCTCCGCCCTCATCTCCCGCTCTCCTGCTTGACAGTCTTCTTCCTGTGCCCACGATGCCAGACCTGCACCCCAGGGCCTTTGCACCGGCTCTCTTTGCCTAGAACACTTATCCCCCACACCACCCCCTGCTCACTCCTCCTGGCCTCCAGGCCTCTGTTCAGACCCAACCTCTCAGGGACCTGCTTCCCACATTCGGCTCTTTTCGTTCATGGGCAAAGCCCTTGGCCTGAGCCCTGGGCCCAGCTCCCCGGCTCGAGACGGCGAGGCTCTCCACCTAGGACCAGGGTCAAGCGTGGGGCGGGTGGTTCTGGGCCGCACTGGAGCAGAGGCCGCTGCCTGGCTGGACAGGGCTCCAGGCTGCGGTGGGAAGGCGCGTCCTCCTCTGCTCCCCTGACCCGCTCACCCGGACCCTCACCCCTGCCCTGTCCCTTGGTGGACACTGGCGAGCTGCAGCCCTGCAGGGCCAGACACCGAGTCACCTCCCACCCAGGCCGCCTGGGACCCCCGCTCCCCGGGGCCAGGCCCCTGTGCTTCTGCCTCTCGAACTCCCTGTCCAGCAGAGCCCCACCCGAGGGTCACCTGGAGATGCCAGGGGTGCCCTCTGGCCTGACGGGTGAGGGTGACCGTGGGGACACTGAGAGCAGCAGCCACGCCCACCCAGAGCCAGAGGCTGAGCCCGGCACCTGTCACCAGCTCACTCCTGCCACAGAGGTCCTGGGGGGTGGGGACTCTCACGTCCCAAAGCACAGTGGTCAGTCAACACCTGGCGGTCCCAAGCCCCAGCAGCCGGACTCTGGGCGGCCCTGAGAGGGGTCCCCACCGACAGAGCAGCGGCCAGCCCTGCGGTCCCTGTGAGTGACATCCTGGTGGGGGGAGTCAGGTGCGGTGCCAGGCTCGCTGCGGGCCACGGAGCCGGAGCAGGGCAGAGGCCGAGTTCATCCCCGCTTCCTTCTGATGCCGCGAGGCCAGGGTCCCCCGCTGATCGGCCACCTCGCCTCTGGAAGGACGTGACCCAGGTGCCGGAGGAGCCCGCAGCTCAGCACACGTGGCCGTCTCCGTGGCCGCCACTCACCTCTCCACCACCCGCCCTGCGCCCACCTCTGTCCCCTCGCTCCCACCCCACCTCCGGCCCCTCCTCCTGTCACATCTCCTGCCCCTCCTCCCGCCCCTCCTCTCACCATCTGCCCATGAGTCCCAGTGACACCGATTCACCCCCCGCCTGCCCTCCGTCCGTCCACCCCCACCCACTAGTGTCCTCTTGGGCTGGCCGTGGCCTGAGCTGGGGACCAAGCCTTGTTAGCTTCCTGTTTATTTGTTGTTCCAAGAAAGCTGAGGAGGGTGGGAGCGGCCCTTTGATCTGGGCAGTTACTTAAGAGACAGTTAATGAGCAGCCGCTGGGCAGGAGCCAGGCAGCCACAGCGGAGGAGCACGGCCGCCTGGCGGGGACGGCCAGCGTCCTGGGTCAGGAGGGACGTGAGGACAACTGGGTGGCGGCGAGGACAGCTGGCGTGTGCCGGGCGCTGGGCTAAGGCTGCCCTTCCCAGTTCCCGGGCAGGGAAACCGTGTCCCCCTCCCGGGCGGGGCTGAGGCGCTGGCCAGGCCGCCGTGGGCTCAGGGCCACTCACCTGGGAAGCGACACAGTGTGTCACCCACCACCTGAGCCCGTCCACAGCAACGATGGCCGTCAGCAAACAGCTACGCAGCACCCGCCCGTGCCAGGTGGTTCTGAGAGCCTTCACCCTGTCACCTGTCACCTGGCCCTGTCACCGTCTCCGAGCCTAGATGAGAGAATGAGCCACAGGCAGGAAGTTGCTCAGATTCCCAGGAAGCAGCACGACTTTGCTCTTAACAGACGTCGGGTCCCGCTGCCCCTCCGGCCGTCCAGGATTTGGCCACCGGTGGTCGCCGCGTGTTTTAAGGACAAATCCTCACCTCTGTTGCGTGTCTCCAGACCCGAGGCTGAGGCTGGCCGCCCACCGCCCCTGCAGCCTGGGGCACGGCCTGTGGCCTTCTGTGCAGAGGGCCACCAGGAGGGTTCAGAACTCCCCGTGTCCTCCAACCCTCCCGTCACCCCAGGGCCCGGGTTAGTCTGCACTTGTCACAGGTGCAGAACAGTGCGCAGGTCACCGGCGATGACCGAGCGTCCTCACAGGGGAACACACCTGTGCGACCACATCCAGGAGCCAGCCCCGTTCCCCAGGCCCTGTCCCCGTCACGGCTTTCCTAGGGTGGCTGGGGGCTGTGCCTGTTTCCAGGGCTTCGCAGGCACAGACGTGGCTGGGCAGCGCCGCGTCCCTCCCTGCTCTCCCGGTCTTCGGGCTCTTTCCGGCTGTTGCTTCGGGGGTTGGCTCCCGGCCTCTGCACGCCCTGCCCCCCGTCCCCCGATGGCACTGGGGAGCTCGTGAGGGGCCGAGTGTGCCCAGACACCGTGAACCCCCCTCCCGTCTCTGTCTCCGGGTGACCCTGCCTGCGCTCCTGCCGGGCAGACCGACCTGGGGCCCTGTGGAAGGCAGTGCCAGGGTCCAAGGTGCTCGTGACGTTTCGCATCCCTGCGGGGTGTCCGTCTTCCTTAGCTCCCGGTGTCCCCTACTCTTAGCCGTTTTGGTGGGTCCCTGGTGGCCTCCCTCTCCGTGTGGCTTTGATTTGCATTTCCCTGGTGGTCAGGATGTGAAGCGTCCATGGGTGGCAGGTCCTCTGGGGGACCCCGTCTGTGAGACGACAGCTGAGTCTTTGTCCCCCCCAGGGACCTTCAGTCTATGCCTCTGTCTCAGTCACCTCTCCCGGGGCTCCCCAGAGACACCCAACCCGCTCTGCACGTTCAATTTCATTTTTAAAGAAACTGGTTTATGTGACTAAAGAGTTTACAAACCTGAAGCGAGGGGGGGCGGCGGGCTGGCCACGGGAGAGAGGTGGACGGCGGAGTCCGGGGCCAAGTCCTCCTTCACAGGAGGCCTCTCTTCGGGCTCTCAGGCCTTCGCCTGGTGGAGGAGGCCCGTCTGCGTATTCCACGTAGTTTCTTTTACATAAAGTCAGCTGGTTGTGGGTGTGAGTCATGCCTTCGGCCATCTCCATAGCGACCCCCAGACCAGCATCTGGTCAGAGAGCGGGGCACCGTCACCCGGCTCAGCTGGACAGTCCAGCCATGGCCACCACCCAGGGCTGGTTCTGCGCCTGCAACTCTGAGCCCCATCTGATCCACTGACACACACACACGCACACTCTCTCACACTCTCACACTCACACACACACACGCACTCACTCACTCTCACACTCACACTCACACACACACACACACACACACACAGTGTCGCCAGGCACTTCTCTGTAAGTGCACAGAGATCATTCCTGGACAGACACAAGCCAAACCCATCACAGCCACCCTGGAGAGGGGCCAGGAGGAAGTCAAAGGGATTTAAATATAAGCTGTAACAGTAAGAAGACTTTAAAGAGCATAATAATGTGTTTTGTAATTAAAATTAATTTTAAAGCAGAAATACTTTTAAAAGAAAAAGAAAGGAGTCCTCAGGTCTCTATTATTCATCCAGCAAACGTTCACCGAGCTCCAGGTGCAGCTGTTGGGCGCAGTGGAGCCGGCGCCCTGACCCTGCTGCCTGGCCTCCGGCTGTTGCTCCAACCTCCTCGCTCAGCCCTGCCTCAGGACCTTTGCTCGGCTCCCGGCCACACCGGCCGTGGTCCCTTCTTGCCTTGCCTGACCTCTCTGTCCGCCGTAGCCCTGCGCCGCTTTGCCCACCTGGCTTTATTTTTCTTCCCACCACATCTCACCTTCTACTTCACAAACATTATACAAGAATAACATTTATATTAAGCATCTGTGTAGTTGTTTATTGTCCAACTCCCTGCTGAGGGTCAGCCCCGAGGGCAGGGCTTGATTCCGGGCAGGACTGAGCCACCCCTGCACTGCCTCCCGCCTGGGCTTCCACGGGACCCAGCAGGAGCCCCGTCCCCCTGCACCCCGAGGCTGGGCGAACCCAAGCCTCTGTCCTCCCGCCCTGCCTGGGCCTCCATGGAAGGGCAGGTGGCCTTGGCTCTGTCGGGGGCCGTGCTCCCTCTTCCCCACCAGAGTCCTCCCAGGGAGCCAGCGCAGGACCAGGGCCTCAGAGATGGCAGTGCCCCCTCGAGTGTTGTGCCGCCAAGATCCGCATGGCACAGAGGAGGACACAGAGGGTCAGAGAGATGAAGAGGGCCCCAGGGTCGCCCAGCAGGGCCTAGACCCAGGACACGGAGCAGGTAGGACGCTGCCCACCCCACCCGCACCAACCTGGGCACCACCCCACAGTCCAGACACTTTCTGGCTGGGTGAACCCAGATCAGCCTCTTTCCCTCTCTGGTCTGTTTCCCATCAGACACTGCAGCCTCTTGCCCCAGGGCCGGGCTCCCCAGCGACCAGGCCATGGGTGAGTGGAAGCCAGGCCCCATGGCTCCCCAGTTCCACTCGGTCCCCAAGAGCGACGGGTGGCGGCCAGCTCTCTGCCCGAGCCTTCATGTGCTGCAATGTCCACTTGCCAGCTGGGCTGAGCTCCGCAGTGACAGCTGCCAGGCAGCCCGGGCTGCGGGAGGTGGCTTCCTCTCCAGGCCAGCGTCCCCTGGGAGTCCAGGCTGGTGGCAGCCGTCCCCTCCTCCCTCCTCCCTCCAAAGCCTGGCCCTCCGCCAGCCTCCTGCCTTCGTCCAGGTCAGAACTGGATCTTGTTCAAATAAACTCCAAGGCCAGGGGATGATTAAAGCCGCGATTGGAGGGTTGGCACCTACCAGCCGCCAGCCGCCACCTTGAGGTGTGGGTAATCAGGCCCCCTGACGGGGCGCGCGGGGGCGTCGGGGAGGGCAAGCGGCCTGGGCCTCCGGCCTCCCCGGCCTCCGCTCTGCATTTCACTCTGCACACCAGGGCGGGCAGGGAGAGGGTTGGTCATGAGGTCCTGCAGAAGGGGTGGGGGACAGGTGACCTGGCGTCTGCTGGAGAGAAGAGTGGGAAGGCCCAGAGGAGAGGCTCGAAGCAAAGACGCAGCCGGGCAGCCAGAGGCTGAGAGAGGAAAGAGCCGGCTGCTGACTCACCACCAGGTGATGCAGATGTCCTGTGACCCGCAGGGGGACCCCACGGTGGGCCACACGGGGGACCCCACGGGGCTGCCTGCCAGGATCACCTCGAGGCCACTGCAGGGAGCCTGAGCCGGGAACAGGCTCCAAACAACACGAGGCTCAGGCTGGAGCCGCCGTCCCACTCCTCCCCACCGCTCACTGGCCCTGCAGAGGGGACAGGGGACGGGCCAGGGACCGGCCTGAGCTACTACGCGGTGCAGGCACCAGACGCCTCTGGCTCAGCCTCCCCCGCCTGCGGTGGGTGTCTTCATGACCCAGGGGACTGAGCTGCCTCGGGGTGGTGGACGGCTGGCCACAGCTGACCAGGGGCTGCAGCTCGTGCCCGGTACCCAGCTGTACCCACCCCCAGGGCCCCCCAGAGCCGCACCCTGGCGCCCTCTGACCCCCTCGGTTCCCATAAACCCCTCGTGGCCTCCTTTTCCAAAACCTCAACACTCGGAGCCCACATCACAGGGCCCGGCGGCTCTAGGAGGCAGGGACTTTGTTCCAGAGGTCACGGCCAGTGCGTGGTGCTTATTAGGGCTCATTATAAATTGTTCCCCGAACCCCATGAAAGGTGGGAAGTCTTAAAATTACTTCTCCCCAAAACTGGCGCCGCCCTGCCCTGGGAGCTCCTGCCCTGCCTCACGAGGAATCGTTAATTACGTTTTGTTTTCATAATTGTCCACTGGGAGTCCTGGGGGATACGTGCTCCGACTTGCCCGTCCTTTCAAAGAAGGAATCAAAGGTTCAGGGAGATCAGTTACCTTTAACTAGTGGAATTTCGAGAGTTCAGCCCTGGATTTGCTGTGTGACCTTGGGGACAGCCCACTCCTTCTCTGGGTCTCTGCTTCTCTGTTATAGAGGGTAGAATGTGCCTTCCCATCTTCACATCACAGGACTGGGGTACACGCCTCCAGCAGCATGAGCGCCCAGGGCACGCACGTGAGAAGGCGTTACGTGGGCACGGCTGGGCGTGAGGAGTTCCATTTTTATTTCTATTTTTAACATTTAGCAGTGTCGCAGCACTTCGCTTATAGAAGCATAAATTCCTGGTCATAGGGACGTTTGACAAGGGGAGGAGCTCGGCTTGGCACTGTCACACATCCTGAGTGGTGTGTCCTCTGTCATCTTTGACAGGTAGACTAAGGTCACCTGATAGACCCTGTCAAAAATGATGTTTTTGGGGAGTGGGGATTGAACCCACTGGCTCTTAACCACTGAGCTACATCCCCAGCCCTTTTTAATATTTTATTTAGAGACGGGGTCTCACTGAGTTGCTTAGGGCCTTGCTAAGTGGCCGAGGCTGGCCTTGAACTTGGGATCCTCCTGCCTCAGCCTCCTGAGTCACTGGGATCACCGGCCTGTGCCACCACACCTGGCCCCAAACTGATTTTTGACGTCCATCCAGCGGCCAGGAGAGGAGAGACGGCGGAAGAGGCACAGGCTCAGCATCTTGGCCCACGATGACAACACGGCACTTCCCCTTAGGTCCCACTGGCCAGAGCTGGTCACCTCTTCTGCTGGCCGGGCAGCTCCTGACCATCAGCAGCTCCGCGTGCTGGAGGAGGAGCGGGAGTCTTTGGGGACCCTTGGCCATCTCTGCCTCAGTATTTTCTTTTTTAACGAATGACTTTAAGGGACAGAGTTTTCCCACCTGTTTATCAATGACTGAGAACATGTCATCTCTATAATTAGGAGAAATCATTCTGTGAACGTCAAGGTCGCTGTACCGCTGCAGTAATGAGGAGGACCAGAGGGAGGGACACACAGATCCCGGGCAGCACGGAGGGACCAGGGTCAGAGGCCCATGGCCCTGCTGACATCTGACACAGATGCAGCGGTCACTGGGTGGCGGGAGGAGGGCCTTTTCAATAAATACCTGGGGCATCGGGACGTCTGTACGAAGAACAGGAGCAGCTTCGTGAGAGACCAAGGTCAACAAAGGGAACCTCGTCAAAATGAACATGTTCGCTCCGTGGAAGGCTCCTTGAGGACGAGGAGCCAGGCGCAGCGGTAGCGCACGGCCATAATCCCAGTGGCTCTGGAGGCTGAGGCAGGAGGATCGCAGGTTTGAAGCCAGCCTCAGCCACTCAGCGAGGCCCAAAGCAGCTCAGAGAGACCCTGTCTCAAAATAAGAAGAGCCTCCGAGAGAAGCCCTGCCAGCGCCGTGTGGCCGAGTCCTGCACCTAGAGCCTGTCCACCCAGCAGCGGAGAATCTAAACAGAAACCGAGCAAAGCCAGGAAGAGAGGGTCACTGAAGAGGACCCCAGAGGCACTGGGCACCGAGAGGACATGCAGAGGATAGCCACAGCTGGACCTTGCTGCCCGCCTAGAAGGACTAAGAACAGAACAGAGTCCGGAGCCCGAGGAGCTGGAGGACGGATCACCTGCTTGCGCCTGAGGCCCCGGAGTGATGCTGGTGTCCGAGAAAACGAGCCACTTCTTAAAGCCACCAAGCCACACAGCAGGTGCCGTCCCCGACACAGGACTGGGGACAGGTTCACACAGAGGTGCCAGTGTCCCCGGAGCCCTCCCAACCCTGGGGGAAGCTGGACCCAGCCTGGAGCCTCCAGGTGAGAGATGAAGAGGCCGAGGCCCGCGCTGTCCCCGTGGAAGAACAGATCTCAAGGCACAGGACAGAGGGGACCGCGCCGCAGAGAATCACGCTGAGAAAACCCAGAGGGCGGCTGCACCCTGCGATTCCAGCTCTAGAACATTCTTGAGACCGCACAATCACAGAGATGGAGAGAGGCCAGCGCTCCGCGGGCTGGGCAGGCGGGGTGGGCGCGGGGAGGGCTGCGGCCGGCTCCTGGGCAGGGACGTCCGCGTCAGCACCCTGCGGGGACCCACGGCGGCCCGGGTTACCGCCGGGGGACCTGGGGTGCGCCTGTGGGTTCTCTGCTCACTCCCACAGCAGGCCAGTCTACAGTCATCTCAGAAGGAAAAACTGACTAAAGGTGACACCCCATCATCACACCCGAGTGCCGCTGGGCCCTTGGTGACGTGGGCGCACCGTGGGAATCTCCAAGTCAGGTTGTATGGTGCAGGGACTGGTGTGTGGCGGGGTGACGGGGTGGCCTCCGGGCTCAGTCACCTGCGAGGACCTCACTGCTCGGGTTGCCGTGGAGACCAGAGCTCAGCAGTGGCAGCGGAGGCGGGGCCTCAGGTGTCCTCGAGCCTCGGGAGGGCTCAGGCCAGCACCTTGGGGACCAGCTCGGCACTGGGGTCTGCCGTCTCCAAGGCAATAGAGAGAAGGAGCGGAGCAGCGTTCCTGTGCACCTACTGTGCGCACCTACTGTGTGCACCTACTGTGTGCACCTACTGTGTGCATGGCAGGCTGCCTGATCCCGGTCCCCCGGGCCCCCCAGACACCTGGAGCATGGCGTCCCTCCTCGCCCTACAGGAGACAACTGAGGCTGGCAGTGGGAGAGCACTCTGGCCTGTCATCTCAACCCAGTCTCACTGTCACCACGAAGGACGACCTCGCACCCTCCACCCTCAAGGTGTGTGGCAGTCACCGAGCCACTCAGCTCCTGACACCACGGCGTGGCCCTTCCTCTCGGGGAAGAGGAAACAGGGAGGAGGACGGTGCCGAGCAGGGTGGCCGGCAGCCCCTGATTCAGCAGAAGGACAGCGTCCCCTCTGCGGGCTCCCACTGGGTCCTGCCGAGGCCACCAAGACCTGGGGCGTGAGCCTCTCCTGTGCCGAGTCAGCACAGTGGCTGCCCCGCAGGCTGTGGCCTCTGAACCCCACCTTCAGCGTCCCCTGGGCACGGGGGGAGGCCACTGGGAGCCACGGGCCTCTCCCCACCAGGCCAGGCAGGCGGTGCTGCTGGCGAGGCTGGGGTGGCGGTGGGAGTGACGACTTCCTTTTGAGTAATGACATTTACTGAAAAGCAATTCTGCTTTTAGCACCAGGAGTTCAGCGCCCTGGGGACAGACGCCCACGGGACCAACCACAGCGGAGGAGTCCTGGGCCCCAGCGGCCTGGGGGGCTCACTCTGGTGTCAAGGGAAACCAGACCCCACAAGCCCAGGGGGGGGTGCGGGGGGAGGTGAAGCGGAGGCCAGGTGCCGGGACCACAGTCCCCAAGGCCCCACGGGAGCCCTGGGCGGTGGCCGGCCCCTTGGCCTCGGTTACTGGAAAGACGGCGGACGAGCTCAGAGCGAAACTGACGGTGACAATTTCTCTTCCTTTTACGAGAAAAGGAAAGTGATGGTCCTGGGCCACCCGGGGCCAGGGACTTACCCTGGGCTCCCAGCCGGCGCCAAGTCTGTGGGACGGCCTTGCACGGGCTGCCCGCCCAGGCCCGGGAGCAAGGTGACCCAGAGCGGGAGACCTGGCAGAGGTGGGGCGGCCAGCGGCCCAGAGAGCAGCCCGAAGAGGCCCCACCCCCTGCCTGGACTCCTGGCTCCCACGGGACCCAGAGGCAGCGGGTGACAGGCTTGTCCCGCTTTGAGAGTCTCAGGGTGACGGCTCGTGTCCTGCCTGTCCTTTGCTGTCCACATGATCTGGGGCCAACGGCTCCGCCTCTGGGGGCCTCTGCTCTCTCACGGGCTAACGATGGAGCCTCTGCTGCTCACGACCTCGGGGCTCCCACCTCCTCGGCAGGAAAGTCCTCTCGTGACCCGCAGGCCCCTGTGATCTGCTCCCCTCAGACTCGTCTCCTCCCACTCCGTCTTGGTCCCTCTCTGCCCGCTGCCTCTGCTCTTCCAACACACTATCACATCCTGCCTCAGGGCCTTGGCACCCGCCAGTCCTTCCTCAGCCGCCCACAGCCTCCTTCCCTCTCGGATTCGGGCCCCTGCTGGGTTGGGCCCGGGGTCTGCCCCTGTGTCCCTCCCACCTTGCTCCCTGGCACCTCTGTGTCCCAACCCAGTGAGTGGTTGCCCTCTGCACTCGCCCCTACCTGCTGCTACACTTAGGGGGTTGGCAGTAGCTCCCCACCCCCGAAAACAAAGTCCAGCCCTGTGAGGTCCCCCATGGAGTCACGTGTGCTCGGTGAGTGACCCGGGCTGTGGGGTGCCGCCATGCTGAGCGCCAGTGTGGGGTACCGTCATTAGGGGGTGCTTCTCTGCCTCCTGGCCTGGGCCAGCTGCTGTGGCCTCCCTGCTCTGACAGACGCAGTCCCAACACTGAGGCCCCGGCCACTGCCCCCCGCGGGTGACCCGTGGCCTGGTGGAAGGAATGGCTGCTGGAACTTCAGACCCCGAGGGGCCTGGCTTGGGGACCCAGCTCCCTCCCACAGTCCCAGGGCCCCGCCGAGGAGGCCTGGGCTCCAGAGAGGGGCTTTCTCATTTTGCTGTTTCTAGAAAGTTCTACGCAGGGAGGATGGAGGCGCGAGGACCTGCTGGACAGCAGGAGCGGCGGAGGCTGGGCGTCGCTGGCACCCACCCAGGTCCCGAGAGGGACTTCCCAGGGAGCAGGCCTGCCGGCTCTCGAGGCCTGTCTCTGGAGGCCGGGCCTCAGCCCCCGTCTGTACCCTGAGCGAGGCAGCTGGGCAGGAGGAGCGCCGTGGGCGCGGATTTTCCCCTGGGCCTGCCAGGGAGGGATTTTGGAGCCATGAGCTGGCCTCCCAGTCCCCAGGCTGAGAACCCTCCACCTGGGTCTTGCCCGAGCCGGTGCTGTCTCTGTGTCACTGACCCCATCAGCCCTGCCTCAGCTGTCCGAGGGGCCCTCTCCCCACAGCTGCAGCAAGAGGGCTACAAGTGAGACTCAGGACAGACTGTCGCCAGTGCCTTCTTACCCCTGAAGGTGACCGCACCTGTTAGGCCTCCTAGCACAGACCTGCTGACCTGCCGCCCCAGGCAAATCCAGTCTGGAGATCTGCTCGGTTTGGCCTTGAAGTAGCTTTTACAAAACGTGGAGGAGGGGCCAAGGCTGCAGTACCAGGAGATTCCGTCCGGAACGCATTCCTCTGGCTTCTTTTGAAAACTAGGTGGGTCTGGCCGCCGGGCCACATTCCTGCTGGGCGCAGGAGGGCAGGAGCCGGGTCACGGGCTCCAGGCCCAGCAGCACGTGCTGGCCACCCCGTCACCTGTCCCCGCCCGCCAGGGTCCTGGAGTAGGAGCAGGAGTTCACCAGGACCGGGGGCGGGGCCTTCCAGGAAGGGGCGGGGCCTGAGGGTCCCCACAGAAGCTTCCTGTGGTGCTTGGGGATGGGAAGCCCACCGTGGCCGAGGCGGGCGCACCCCCCACGCGGCCAGCAGGGCCGGGATGAGAACAGAGCGCCTCAGTCCTTAAACAGTGACGTGGCCGCCTTGTGAAGCCCCACTGTGTGCCAGGCCCGTCCTGGGTGTGGGGGTCTCGAGGAACAGGCCATCCTGGGGGAAGGGACAGAGACCTCCCACCCCCGGGTGAGCGTCCGAGGTACAGAGGAGCGTGGGCCTGTCCTCTGCCTGGAGGCTGTGTCCTCTGACTCGATCCCAGGGGCCCCCACTCCTGGGGCGGTTGTGAGCAGCACCCCACCTCACAAACAGGGAGGCCGAGGCTCAGGGGAGGTGGCCGAGGCTCAGGGGAGGTGGCCGAGGCTCAGGGGAGGTGGCCGAGGCTCAGGGGAGGTGGCCGAGGCTCAGGCGGGGAGGTGGCTGGCTGAAGCCACCTTGTGTGCCCGGATCTGGGCTCCCGCGGCTGCCCCTGGGCCCTGGCCCTCCAAGCCCGGGCGGCCCTCTGAGGGGGGTAAATGGGTCCCCGGAGCTGGGAGGGAAGGTGGCCAGGGCGCCGAGCCCTCCGGCTCTGCAGGACCGGGCAGGAGCCTCTGGAGCTGCCAGGGTCCCCGGGTGGGCAGACGGGAGCCAGCTTCCGCCCCCACGTGTGCGCACCTGGCAGCGGGGCTGGTCGGAGGCGCCAGGCAGCGGCCCAGGCTGGCAATGGCTCCTTGTGCCCATGCCACGGAGGAGGGCAGCATCTGCAGGACACCAGGCCACCAAGTGGGGTGTGCGCTGTCCCGTCCTGGGACGCTGCCCGGGGACCGTGCGGTGCTGGGGCGGGGGCTCTGCCCCTCGTCTGTGCCTGGCACCCGTGGGTGCCCTCCCAGGGCCCAGCGTGTCTCGCACACCTGCGGCTGGTGTGTCTCAGCAGGCCCATGGCTTTGGGCGCCTTCTGTGCCTGCCTCAGTGTCCCTGGGCGAGCCCGCGGCTGGCGTTGTGCGGGGCTCCACGTGTGTCCCCAGGCGCCCCGTCCCTGTGCGGGTGGGTGTGCCCGAGCCCTGAGCCACCGCCGTCTCACCCCTGCATCTGTCTGGGGGGCTCCTTGTCACTTTGGGGAGCTCCTCGTCACTTCGGGGAGCCTAGGGGAGATGATGCCAGGGACCAGCACAGGCGAGAGTCCTGGCGGGATGGAGTCGATGGGGGGCTGCCTGGGGGCTGCCTGGGGGGCCGTTCCCGACCATGTCCAGCTGGAGAGCAGGGGGCGGGGCAGGCAGGGGGCCACCTGGGAGGTGTCACTAGGCAGCGTCACAGCAGGACCCCAGGCACCCTCACTCCCGTTCTGTGGGGTGGCCACTGAGGCCCCAGGAGGAGAGGTGTCTTCCAAGGCTGGAAGTCTGGGCGCTGGCCCAGTGCGAAGGCCGGCCCCTCCTCCAGCTTGGCTGCTTGCCCCTCCTCAAGTCCCTTCTTGTCCCTTGGTTCTGCTGGGGCCTGTGCTAATGCTCCTCTGGGAGAGGACCGAGGACTCTGGAGCCAGAAGGCTGGGGTTCCAATCCTGCCTCTGCCGCCAAAGAGCTGTGTGACCCTGGGCAAGCCACACAGCCTCTCTGTGCCCCAGTTTCCTCATCTGCCAAGTGGACAGTTCCCTCCAAAGTGCAGGGCCCCTGGGCCCTCCTCCCAGTGGCCCTGACTTGACCCTGCGAGCTCCCAGCCTCCCACACTCTGCAGCTGGCCCTTCCCCACCAGGAGGCTGCTCCAGGAAGGCGGGGTGTCTGGGGAGCCCTGTGCACGACCCGCGTTTCCAGAGCCGTCGCACGCGGTGGGTGCTCCACTGTCCCATCCCCTAAGTATCGGGTGACCATGTGAACACTGTGGCCTGGCAGGCGGTGGGCACAGGACCGTGGCTGGAGGTACCTGGGTGGCCTGGAGCTGGGCCCAGGGAGGCGGGCTCCGTCTGTCCTGCAGGGGACGGGCCCCTTCCTGCCCTTCCCGCTGCCCCGCTGGACCCGTGCAGGGCTCTGGGCCAGCCGTCCCCTGCCTCCGGACTCTGGTTGGGAAGAGGACAGCCACCCCCAGGGCACAGGCTCCAGGCCCCGTGAGGGGACAGTGACGCGGCTTCCCCTGGCCCCAGGTGATCCAAAGGTCTCAGCGGCCTCCTCTCCCTCAGGATGCTTCCTGCGACTAGGGCCTGACCATCGCACCGCTGGGACCCTGTCCCCCACCAGCCACAGACAGAGCCCTCGGCAGCTGTGGCAGAATGTCCCCCAGGGCTCAGGAGGCCCCTGGCGACCGTCGGCAGGGTCCAGCGAGTCCGTGGGGGAAGCGGCTCTGTGAGCTGAGGCTGAGGGCCCCAGGGGCCTGGTGCGGCCTTCTCAGGCCACCCCGTCCGGCCTGCCCACCGGTCCCGGCTGTGCTCTGCACCTGGCCCATGGAGACCAGGGACAGGGACGGCCGCTCCGTCCCCACCCCCATGGCCTGCGGGCTCCAACCCTGGCGGGCAGCGCCCCATGCCCGTGCCACTGGGGAGGAGGGACCGGCCAGGTGACCTGGGTCCCTCCCTGCAGGGCAGACAGGGCCAGGGGCCTCTGCACTCTCTGCTCCAGCCGCCCACAGCACTGGCCACCTACTGTGCGCCCTGCCGTCGGGAGCCGCGGAAAGGCCCCGGCTGGGCGCTGCGCAGGGTCGGGGTGAGGGAGAGGGCGGTGGGCGAGTCCAGGGGCCTGCAGACCAAGCCACCCAGGGTCTCCGTGCTGGCAGCAGGACATGCATGTCACAAAGGGTCTGGCCTTTCCAGAGGGGCCGAGTTCAGGCTGTGAGTGGGGCCCGGTGGCAGCGTCCCCGTCCCCGTGTGCTCTGGCCATTGCAGTGACAGGATTTCCTGCCAGGTGGGGGCCTGGGGACAGAGAGGAGTCATTGGCTCAGGGTTTCTGGCCTGAGGACCGGGCGGCTGGTGGAGCCGTCTGCAGTGGAGACGGGGACGGGGCCCTGGGGCAGCTGCCCTCAGATCCGGGCACCAGGTCAGAGGTCCGCAGCCACTGGGTGGACAGCCACCCCCACGGCGGCCCTGGCTCTGCTGCCCGTTCTGCCCCAGGACAACTTCCACAGCTCCGTCCTGCCGGCTGCTCCCACACCAGCCCTTCCTCGTCCAGCTGTCGGGCTCACCAGGAAGCACAGCCTCGGTCCTGCCCCTCTGCTCGGCTCCAGAACCATCCATGGCTCCCCACTGCCACCCAACAGAATTCAAACACCTCTGCAGGTTACCCAGCCTCCAGATCTGCCGGACGGCCCTGAACGGCCTGTCCCCACGGAGCCAGCCACGCGGATGACTCTGGATCCTCGACACTGTCCCCTCTGGCGGCCCCACAAAGCCAGCCACGCAGGTACCCCTGGGTCCTCGACACACTGTCCCCCCACCCCGTGGCCCTCCCCTGCTCTGCCGTTCCTGTGGCGGGTGCCGAGGCCCACCACGGGGAGTCTCAAGGCTGTGCCTCCCATCTGCCCTCCCGGGACGCATCCCACAGGCCTTGAGTCACACTATTTATATTCCCTCCTCCCGGGGGCAGGAAGGTGCCAGCGCCGGGGTCCTCGTCCTGAGTGGAACGTGGCTTCCCCCTTGGGCAGGTGGAGGCCGCAGGACTCCCCACAGGGCCTCCAGCTCCAGGCTGCGGGCTGCCTGGGCCCCTGGGCCTCGCCGTCACCGGGGATTGAGCAACCCGAGGGCTCCCCTTCCCGCTCGCGCTGACCACTGTCCTCACCACCGCTCACTCACTTCCCTCACATTCGCTGACCAGTGTGTTCCATGTCATTTCTCGGGGACATTGTGATCCTTCCTGTGACTCCCCATGATGCAGTGTGGGACCTGAGTCACCCTGAGATGGCATCTCCTTTCAGCTCTGTCCCCAAGCCCCTGCCCAGATAGAAACATGGTATGGTCACAGGGACAGCGGCCACCAGGTCCACCGGACCATCAGGCAGGTCCCCTGCAGATTCACCGAGGTCCAGAGAGGCCAAGGGGCCACGGTCGGAGCCTGCAGTGGGTGGCGCTCAGTTGTGGTCCCTAGATGCTCAGCAGGGCCCCTCCCCGGGGAGAAGCCACAAAGAAATACCTGGAACCCCGGGTGACAAGACCCCCCGGGCCAGTCATTCCTCAGCAAATGTGGCCGCGGTGGGCAGCAGGTGCCCGGTAGGAGCTTTCCACAGGGAGGAGGAAGTCCCTGCCCTCTCGGAAACTCATGGTTTAGTGAATGTGATCAACCAACATCAATCAATAATCAATCAGTCAATCAATCATCGAGGATTTGAAAACTTGAAATTGACACTGGCCAGTACCTAAAGCCATCAGAGCCATGTGAGACCCTGAGGTGGAAAGACTGTGGCCTTTTTTTTTTTAACACAATGTCTTTATTTTTTATTTATTTATATTTTGACGTGGTGCTGAGGATCGAACCCAGGGCCTTGCACGTGTGGGACAAGTGCTCTACCACTGAGCCCCAGCCCCGCCCCAAGACTGTGGCCTTTTTGACTCACATAGAATTTATTCTTGTTTTTCTTTTTCTTTTTTTATTAGTACCAGGGATTGAACCCCAGGGTGCTCAACCACTCGGCCGCGTCCCCAGCCCTTGTTATATTTTATTTGGAGACAGGGTCTCACTGAGTTGCTTGGGGCCTCGCTAACTTGCTGAGACTGGCCTGGAACTCGAGATCCTCCTGCCTCAGCCTCCTGAGTGGCTGGGATGACAGGTGTGTCCACGGCGCCCAGTGGATATACAATTCTTTAAAGAGAGACCTTGACCGTCAATGGGCTCCCCGACTCAGGGTGAGGAGAAAGCCCTCGGGCCTTGCTGGACAGTGGGACCCTGGGGGACACGCAGGGCTTTAGGTCAGACAGCTGGCCCCCAACCCCCAGCCTGGTCCCGGGCAGGCCATGTCTCTGTCCTCTGGAGGCCTCGGTGTCCCCCTCTGGACACGCGGATGCCGCGTACTGAAGGTGTTTGTGGTCCACCTCCGAGTCCACCTGAGGAGGCTGAGACGAGGAGTCCTGTCCTTGTCACCTTCCCCAGGGTGAAGGCCTCCATGGGAAAGGGGCCTTGGACCAGGGCTTGGGAGGATGAGGACTGTGGCTGAGCCCCGGGTGGCCAGGTCTTGGCTACCACGGGGACCAGGGCTCGGGGACAAGGAGCCATTGGCCTCCAGAGGAGCCGGGATCTAGAACTGCTGCAGACTCTCTCAGTGTTTAAATGTTCCCAGAGAATTCAGGAAAGAGGTCGCCCCGCCACCAGGAAGGCACGGTCCTAAAGGTGGACGATGGGATGCGGAGCGGGTGGGGCCCTCGGGGGCAGCCAGCAGGTTTGTCCAAGGTGCAGCCCCTTTAGAAAACCATCTGGCAGCTCCCCAGAATGGAGCACAGTTACCATGTGATCAGTCATTGACCCCTGGGTGCATCCCCCAGAGATCTGGGTCCGAGTGTCCTCACGGCTCCGCCCGCAGAGGTCACCGTGGGGCTATTGCACAAGCCAAGCCCTGGGAGCGGCTGGGTGGATAAACAGAGCCCCCACAACCACACAGTGGAATACTACTCAGACAAAAAAAAGGGATGAAGGACTGTACAGGCCACAACACTGACGGACCTGAGACCGTTAAGCAGAGTGAACCCGAGAGGCTGCAGAGGGTCGGGCTCCCTCTCACCTGCTGTCCAGAGGGCGAATCTGGACAGCAAGACACAGTGGTTGCCAGGGCCACTAATAACCAGTGACAGGATATGGGTAGACTGTGGAGAAGGCTGTGCCACTCTGGATGTGCTGACACCCACTGAGTCACGGGCTTTGACGGGGTGAGGTCTACGAGTGCGAATCCTGTCTCAGGGAAGGTCTATCCTGGGGAGGAGGTCTAACCTGGGAGGAGGTCTAACCTGGGGAGGAGGTCTGACCTAGGAGGAGGTCTAACCTGGGAGGAGGTCTAACCTGGGGAGGAGGTCTAACCTGGGGAGGAGGTCTAACCTGGGGAGGAGGTCTAACCTGGGAGGAGGTCTAACCTGGGAGGAGGTCTGACCTGGGGAGGTCTGACCTGGGAGGAGGTCTAACCTGGGGAGGAGGTCTGACCTGGGGAGGAGGTCTAACCTGGGAGGAGGTCTAACCTGGGAGGAGGTCTGACCTGGGGAGGAGGTCTAACTTGGGAGGAGGTCTGACCTGGGGAGGTCTGACCTGGGAGGAGGTCTAACCTGGGGAGGAGGTCTGACCTGGGAGGAGGTCTAACCTGGGGAGGAGGTCTGACCTGGGGAGGAGGTCTAACCTGGAAGGAGGTCTAACCTGGGGAGGAGGTCTAACCTGGGAGGAGGTCTGACCTGGGGAGGTCTGACCTGGGAGGAGGTCTAACCTGGGGAGGAGGTCTGACCTGGGAGGAGGTCTAACCTGGGGAGGAGGTCTAACCTGGGAGGAGGTCTGACCTGGGGAGGAGGTCTAACCTGGGAGGAGGTCTAACCTGGAAGGAGGTCTAACCTGGGGAGGAGGTCTAACCTGGAAGGAGGTCTAACCTGGGGAGGAGGTCTAACCTGGGAGGAGGTCTAACCTGGAAGGAGGTCTAACCTGGGAAGGAGGTCTAACCTGGGAGGAGGTCTGACCTGGGAGGAGGTCTAACCTGGGAAGGAGGTCTAACCTGGGAGGAGGTCTGACCTGGGGAGGAGGTCTAACCTGGGGAGGAGGTCTGACCTGGGGAGGAGGTCTGACCTGGGAGGAGGTCTAACCTGGGAAGGAGGTCTAACCTGGGAGGAGGTCTGACCTGGGGAGGAGGTCTAACCTGGGGAGGAGGTCTAACCTGGGGAGGAGGTCTAACCTGGGGAGGAGGTCTGACCTGGGAGGAGGTCTAACCTGGAAGGAGGTCTGACCTGGGAAGGAGGTCTAACCTGGGAGGAGGTCTGACCTGGGAGGAGGTCTGACCTGGGGAGGAGGTCTAACCTGGGGAGGAGGTCTGACCTGGGAGGAGGTCTGACCTGGGAGGAGGTCTGACCTGGGGAGGAGATCTGACCTGGGGAGGGAGGTCTAACCTGGGGAGGAGGTCTAACCTGGGGAGGAGGTCTAACCTGGGAAGAGGTCTGACCTGGGGAGGGAGGTCTAACCTGGGGAGGAGGTCTAACCTGGGGAGGAGGTCTAACCTGGGAAGAGGTCTGACCTGGGGAGGAGGTCTCACCTGGGCAGTGCGGCCTCTCTGGGCTCCAGGGCTCTGTGGCCTCGTCCTGCCTCCCTGTTTCTGTCCCAGGTGAAGCAGGACTCTCAGTCTTTGCAACTCTCAGCTCTGGGAACCCTGGTTCTGAGGCCCCGGGACCGTCCCCCTTCCCCACAGCCCGGGAAGCTGGAGGAGACCTGTCTTGACACTTCCCTTTTTGGTCCTTTTAAAAATGATCCAAGAGCTGAGGAGGCTCTGCGGTGGCTTCTAGCCACAGAGGAGGAGGAAACTGGGCGGCAGCCATGTCCATCCAGAAGGTTCCGGAATCCTGCGTCTGCAGGGTGGGAGCTGCCCTCACTCTTCGCCTTGCAGTTAGGAGAAGGGGACCCTGTGGGGGCTGGAGGGGTGGTGGGACCCTCAGAAGGACCCGAGGCCTTGCTCTGTCATCGTGCCCCAGCAACCTGAGGGCATGGGCCCTGGAAGGTGGTGGCCCCAGGAGAGGCACCCAGAGCCCCCAGAGGCTGGCCTCCCTGAGGAGGACGACCTGAGTCCACAGGGGCCGTGGAGCACAGGGGCAGCCGGGCCTGCAGGGCTCCAGCTGGCCACGCCGCTGCCCTCCGGCTGCCCACTCTCCACTCGCCAGCCACCGCCTGGGCCCTGTCCACGCAGGCTCTGGGCTGGTGCTGACGTCCTAGGAGAGACCCCATGGGCCAAGGAGCTGTGTGGCCACCATCCCAGGTCACAGGAGGGTCCTGAAGGCTCAGGGCAGGGCCGAGGCTGGCACAGAGGGGCCGTCGCTGGGCGCCGTCACGGCAGCCCACGCCTCAGCTGAGACTCCAGCGAGCGACTTCTGGGGTAGAGGGCCAAGTGACAGAGGCCAGTGCCACAGGAGCCCAGGGCAGGGGAGGGAGGCCACCAGGAGGGTGCCACAGGCGGACCTGAGGGCTGCGGTGAGGACGTTGTTTACGGCTGAGTGCGGGGAGCCATGGCAGGTTCCGGGCAGCAGCAGACCCCGCCCGGCCCAGGTCTCACAGGACTCCTGTGGCCCGTGGACGGTGGCCTGTGGGGGCCGGGGCTGGAGGCGGAGGCCAAGCATCTGGGGGTTAGCGCAGGGGCCAGGGCAGTAGTGACCGTCCCAGCAGGCACCACACACCTGCTGCGGGGGTTCAGGGCAGGGGAGGCTGGGCGCCAGTTGGGGGGAACGAGGGGAGGTCACCATTACACAGAGCAGCCAGGCTGGCCGGGCGGGTGAGCTGGTCATCACACGCTGGTCCCCAGGCCTCTGTTGGGGCCAAGGGAACCGTGGACCCCCTTCCTGGAACAGGGGTGTGCACGTCCCGCCCCAGGTCCACTGTCCCACGCAGGGTGTGTGGGAAGGAGGGACCAAGAGGAGCCTGTGAGTCAGGTGGGCAGAACAGTTAGTGGGCGCGGCGGGCAGCAGCTACGGTAATGATGGAGAGATAGGAGCTCAGGTAATGTCCGGAAGGCAGGAGGATTAGTCAGGGCTCCCTCAGTCGCGAGGGGCAAAACCCAACTAAACCAGTTTAAGCAGAAGAATTTATTAGGTCACATAAAAAAAAAATTCCAAGGATGACTTGCTTCAGGCACAGCTGGATCCAGGTGCTCTAGTGAGATCATGATTCCCGTCTCTCTGGAGGACTGAATAAATCAGTGTCCGCGGAGCACCGAGCGGAGCGGCCCCCAGCACCCTAACACCCCCGGCTTGTCACTCCAGCTGCCATCCCCACAGCTGGGCCTCCGTCCACCACCCTCCTGGCCCAGCAGCCCAGGGGGACGTCAGTGCCCTTTTCCATGTGCCTGGAGGAGTCCCAGGGCTGTCGTGGGCACAGGCTGGACGTGTGGCCTCCTCTGAAGCAGGCCCTATGGCCGTGGCCTTCTCCACGAGAGCGTCTGAGGCCAGGCCAGCTTCACCGAGGAGGGCAGGAGCCCGGAGCCGGCCTGGCCAGGTTCAGCCGCCCCAGGGGGGTCTCCAGGGGCCTCTCCCACCGGCCTCTCCTGGGAGCCTCTCGGGCTGTGGCCACGTCCCCTGCTCGGCATTGCCCCCAGCATATGGCCACAGCCCGGGGGGCCTCTGGGGCGGCCCAGACGTGGGCACAAGACTCCGCCCGGCTGCCCACCTGGGGAGTGGCCCCAGCTCTCGCCCCGCGGTATCTCAAGTGTTTTGGGGGCTCCGCCTCTGGCGTTTAGTGGCGCCTGGCCTGGTCACCCCGAAGGTGACCGTGAGCAGTGGGCGTGGCCTCCATTATATGGCAGAGGGGGCGGGGCCTGGAGACACCCGCCAGGGGGAGGCAGAGCCGCGGGTAACCCAGGCAATGGCCGCCCGCCGCCCACCCGGGGTGGCCCCTTGACCTGCCGGGTTTCTGGGTCCATGACATGGAGACAAAGCAACGGAGACCCCGTGTTTCACAGACCCATGAGAGACGCCATGTGCTGGGCCATGGGCACTGCTGGGGACCCTCCAGGGCTGCGGCAGCACAGAGGGTCACCTGTGAGCGACTGAGAGCCAAGGAGGAAGCAGGAGAGGCACGGGGACAGGGTTGGCGATGGGGACTCTGGCTGTGGTCCTGGGCTGAGGCCGGCTCAGGAGGTCTGGGAGCAGGAGCAGTTCCCAGGCAACAGGTGAGGCAAGACGGGTCCCACCTGCCCCTGCTGCTGTTGGGACTCAGAGGCACAGAGAGGAGAGGGACAGACGACGGCCGGGGGCCACCCCTCCTCCAGCCAGAGTCCGAGGGCAGCCTCCCCTTCCTGGGCCGGCCCAGCTGCTGCGGGCCGGCGGACACTGCTGTCCCCGTCCCCCTGGTTAATCCCAGACCAGGGCTTCACGGTCACCTCATCACGCCATCGGGTCCCCCTTCTGGGTTGGCAAACGGCGTGGCTGTGCCTGAGGGCCGGGGACCTCGACAGGGCCTGGCCTGGGCTCTGTGTCCCCACCTGAGGGGCCAGCTGCCTGGCTCAGAGGCCCCGGCTCCAAAAGGGGCCATGCTGGGCCCGAGGCTGGCCCTGGAGGCAGGTCCTCCTCCCGCGGGCAGAGCGTGGGCGGCTGTGGGCAGAGGGGCTCCCCGCACGGCCCCTTCCACAGCGGCATTGGGGGAGGATGGTCCCCAGGAGCCCCCAGAGCCGGGTGTGGCCTGCATGGTGGGCAGGTCCCAGGGGACTTGAAGTCCAAGCAGCCCTTCCCCTGGGAGCCGAGAACAGGTGGCCCCTCTTGTGCCTAAAGTACCATAATAAAGTGCCGATGTCCACCGGAGGCCGCTGCCACCAAGCTGTCCCCAGGTCCTTCTGATCTCTGACACTGAGCTGGCCCCAGGTCCTTCCCATTCCTGCCCCGGGGGGCGCCGCGGCTCTGCCCGCTGCAGCAGGACTGGAACCCGGCTCTCCAAGCAGGCACACGCCCTGCCGGGACACGGGTCTCTGGCTTTGTCCCCTCTGACCTCCGCTGAGGAGGCCCTGACTGCCCGGCGCCGCCTCCCCAATTCACGCTCCCAGGACCACGGCGGTGGCTCCTCCTGGGCTCCCCGCTCCTGCCCTCTCCCCAGTGTCCCTCCTCCACACAGGGGCAGGTGACGCCCTCCCCTGGGGAAAATCCCCCAAAGGCTCCCCCTATCTTGGATGTCCCCCGGGGCCTAGCACAGTCTCCAAGGCCCCGGTCATCTCCACACCTCAGCTGGCGCCCTGTGTGGCTCCAGAGCCCACTCGGCCCGCTTCCACCCCAGGACCTTTGTGCCTGCTGCACCACCAGGTTATGTGGCCTCCTCATTCTCTTTCTTTCTCCTCTCTGTCCTGGGGGTGACCCCAGGGATGGTCTCCACGGAGCTGCACCCAGCACTTTTTCATTTTTATTTCTTATTTTGAGATGGAGTCTCACTAAGTTGCTGAGGCTGGCCTCAAACTTGCAATCCTCCTGCCACAGCCTCCTGAGGGACTGGATGACAGGCTCTGCCACTGGCCTGGCCCCCTCACTTTAAAATGCTTCGTCTCGTGTCACGAGAACCCCACCTTGACCTTTAAATGAAGAAGAGAGAAAATCTGTGCACAGCCTCTGGGTAGAGCCTGGAGAGAGGACGGGAGGCTGGACAGAAACTGCAGGTCACTTGGTTGGGCTGGAGCTGCAGGTCAGCAGGGTCAGGTGCTGGATGGTGGACAATGAGCTGGCGGGGCCTCGTGCCCGGTGGGGGAGTTCGCATGTTTCCCTGAGTGAGTTGGGAGCCATGGAAGGTGGTAGGCAGAGGGGGACACCACCTTGTGCTCCGGGATCCCTCGGCTGCCTGGGCAGAGACTCAGGTGAGGCTGGAAGTGGGAAGGTCAGAGGCCCGTCCAGGCAGGAGAGCGTGAGGCCTGGCCCTGGAGGTGGCCACACAGGACCCTGGGGGAGGCCCAGAGGTGAGGACACTGGCTGCATGTGAGAGACCGTTGGGGCCCAAAGCTGGTGGCTGGTGGATGTGGCCAGGAGGTGGGGTTGAGAGGAACACGGAGGCCACTCCTTCCAGCCCGAGAAGCCACCAGGACCTGTCCCGCCCCCCTACCCAGCTCCCTCGGTGTGGCCTGACTGACCCCAACACCCTGGGTGGCCTCCGGCCAATCCCTGGGCCTCTCTGTGCTCGGGAGCTTCAGTGCACCCGACCTTCAGCGGGAGTGAGAGGCCGGAGCCACCAGCCCAGGGAGACGACCTTGAAGAGCCCGTCCTCCCCCCCACCCCTCCCCCCGGGGCTCACAGCAGGCCAAGGGGACACCTGGGCAAGGCCTGGGCAAAAGGCAGCCCAGCCCCCAGCCTGCCCCGTCGCCAGCCTCTGCCCACCCAGGGACCCATGGCGCCCAAACCTCCAGCTTCAGTTCCGAGCCCCACACCAGGCGAGGCTGCCCAGGCCCTGGGGACGAACCCTCCCTCAGCGTCCCCGGAGCAGCCTGGGGACCCGCAGCACAGGCCTGGAGCCAGGGCCTGGGCGGAAGTCTCAGCTCTGCCCTTCTGAGCTGTGCAGCATTGGGCAAGTGACCCAACCTCTCTGATGTTCATAGAAAGAGGCCTGGACCCCGGCACCTGTGGTAGGTGAGTCCCGTCCACCAACTACAGTTTGTTGTGTTTTTATTATTTATTTATCGATTTATTCATTTATTTATTTTTGTTTTGTTTTGTTTACAAATTGCACTTAGCCTCCCCTTGGGGCCTCCTGCCAGGCTGGGGGAGGCTTTGTGGGATGGCGCACCCCATCCCACCTGCCCTACGGCTCCTGGGAAGGCCCAGGCTCCCTGGCTTTTTGTGGGAACAGGAATGAGGACAGGGGACAATGGGCCTGGGCGTCATCTGCCCACCCGAATGCCTCAGGCAGGCTGGATTCCACCTGAGGCCCCGCCTGGGGCTGTGCTGACCCCCTACGGCCACCTGGGGGGGGGGACATGCCTGAGGCTGGCGGGGCTGCAGGAAGGAACCCCCGGGAGTGGCTCCTCAAGCTCTGGCCTCTTCGGGAGCCACCGTCCTCTGAGCACCCTGGACCCCGCCTCAGGTTCCGGGTGGGGGAGCTCTGCCCTCTGAAGGATGTGAGGTCTTCTTGCCCCCGAAACCTCCCGGGCCTGTGTTCGCCATCCCACGACGACGAGGTGAATCAAGTACGTATTTTTATTTGTTTTTGGTACCAGGGATTGAGCTCAGGGGCACTTGACCACTGAGCCACACCCCAGCCCTATTTTGTGTTGTATTTAGAGACGGGGTCTCCCTGAGTTGCTTAGGGCCTCACGGAGGCTGAGGCTGGGGCTGGCTTTGAACTAGCGATCCTCCTGCCTCAGCCTCCTGAGCAGCTGCCCCACTGTGCCCGGCTTATTGGACCATAAATCCCGAGCAGGTAGAAACGAACAAGCACAACTGGGCACTCCTGGTTAGTACCAGGGAGGTCACAGAGTCATGTTCATGGATCAGTAACTTTGTTTCAAAACAAAAAAACAGGCTCGGGTAACGATGGCCAAGCCCCTCATGCAGAGAACTGTGAGGACCCTGCATGTCGCCGCCCTGACCAGGCCGCATGAGGGCCCCTGCAGCCTCCTCCTTGGGGCACCGCCTTGCGCATGCACGAGACCCAACACACGCTTGGTTTGTGCACAGAAGAGTCGTCTTACAAGAGGTCCCCGCGCGCTCTGTAGTGCCTTTTTAAATTATTACTTTCAATATGGTTGGTGCAATTTTAATCAGTACGATTTAATAGGGATTTCATCACACGGGCACCCGGGGAGCTGGCCGAACCCTCTGTAGCGGGCATTTCCCATCCCCCGCCCCAGTCTTTAACTTTTATAAACAATGCTGCCTGCCGTGGACACCTGTCCTGGAGAACACCTGCTATCTGCTGGGATAAGTGCCCACAGGTCCATTTCTAGGTTGCTTTAACACTTCTGGTCACTGAGCACCATGCTGGACCCCGCTGCTCTGCCCCAGGCCCTTGGGTGGCCCCTTCAGCACACAATGAGAAGGTCCATTCCCCACACCCACTTTTTTTTTTTTTTTTGGTCTTTGCCAATCTGATAGGTAGGAATGATGAGTCACTGCAGCTCTGATTGCATTTCCTTGATTCCTGGCAGAGCAGAGCTTGTCTTCACATTTGCATTCACCTCGGTAAATAGTTGATTTTATAATAAGGGGTTTGCCATTTCCTATTGTTTCCCCAAAACTCTTTGTATATGAAGCATATTAACCCTTCCTAAGGATCCCACAAGGGACAAGGATGGAAGCTTCTCTCCTTTCCCTCCTCCCCTCCTCCCTTCCTTGGGTTCCCTTGTGCTTTCGAAGGATGTGCCTAATGTTCTGGCCAGCAGCTCATGAATTACACTAGGAAGTCACTTTAAGGACAAACCCACTTAACCGCGTCCTTTGTTCCCGCCTCCTGATAAGCTCTGAGCCAGCTCCTTCATCACCCCCATCCTTCCTCAATGAGGGGCAGGTTGCAGGCTGGGAAGGAGGTTTCATTTTCACTGTGACTCGCTGACGCGCTGCCAGACAGCTGTTTACATAGGAAATGACTTGATGACACTGTGCAGCCAACGGAGGCCTCAGAACGCGGGACCCAGAAACAGAGGTCAAGGCCGTTCACTGTGCAGAGCAACGCAGCCCCCCACAGCTCCCACCAAAAGTAACAACAGTTTTCCAGGGAAAACTAAGAACAGGGTCATGGTTTCCTATTAAAAACGTGTGAAGGAAAGACTTCTGAGAGGAGACGGAGGCTTCTAAGAGCCCAGCTGCCCTCTCAAATTAGACCAGCGGGCAACTGCCTGTCTTTGTGACCTTGGGAAAATCACTTAACTGCCCTGGATCTCCATTTCTTCACTCGTAAAATCAGCCTCAAAAGGAACCAGTGAGAGGGTTAAATGAGATAATGCATAGGAAGCCCTTTTTAGTTAGAATGTCTTCAGCCCAATAAAAAGAACTCTTGACTAAAGGTAGAAAAAAGAGAGAGAGAGAGAGAGAGAGAGAGAGGATTTATGATTTCAGCTAACAGGGCTGTTCAGTTTGGAAGCCTGAAGCCGTAACCAAGGACTCACACCCTTCCCATTTTCCTGGCCTGTCATTAATTATAGATGCCTCTCCTCAAGGTTTCCATATGGCTGCTGCAGTTCCAGGCATCACATGCAGACATGATAATATCAAGCAAAGAAGAGGAGGGATATTTCCTTCCATGCATCTCCTTTTATGAGAGATTCCCCTACGGACTTCCCAATGGTTCAGATCGATCACATGTTCAGATCAATCACTGATGGTGGGAAAAAAATCACAACAATTGGCCTAGACCACACCACTGCCTTTGAGGCTGGGAAGGGGAATGTTCCCTTTCCCTGATCACCTGGGTAGGTGCACACCTGGCAAACAAATCCACGGGAAGAAGGCTTGTGGGAGGGGGTAACCACGGGACCACAGCACAGGTCCTGGCGTATACTAGGTGCTGGAGGCTGGCATTCTGCAAGCTCCAGCGGGGGTCTGGGCAGCCCTCCACACGGGAAGGCCACGACTAACTGTCCAGGGAGTCCCTGGGAGCCGGACCCGTGTCCAAGTCCCCGCTCCCCATCTCCACGTGGCGGGCCTAAGGACATGCAGGCCAAGGCGCCATGTTTGACCTCAGCCTCTTCTCCTCCTCGGCCTCCCCAGTCCTCCTCTCTGCCCACCGGCTGGCCCTCCAGACGCCCCCTCCCTCCCCCGCCCCGCCCTTCTCCTCCTTCCCTGGCGACCTCCACCGGCCCCTCCGGCCTCCCCCTGCTGCCCAGGCCTGCCCCTGGCTGGGGAAGCTCTTCGGACCGGCTCCATGGAGCCCTCGCTGGCCCCGCCCTGTGGGAATCAGGTCAGCGCCTGGCCCTCAGCAGGACAGAAGCAACCTAATCACCCTGTCCTGCTGGAGCGCCCAGGGCTCCCCTTTACCCGCAGGGCACAGTCCAAAGGCCCGCCTGGCTTTTCCAGGCCACCGTCACCTGCCCCGGCCCCCTCCACTCAGGCCACCCTGGGCCTCAGACCTCACCTGCTGCCGCGCCCCGCCCACCGCACCTGCCCCGCCCACTCCTCTCCTGCCCCGCCCGCCCCGCCCACCTCTCCTGCCCCGCCCACCTCTCCTGCCCCGCCCACCTCTCCTGCCCCGCCCACCTCTCCTGCCCCGCCCACCTCTCCTGCCCCGCCCACCTCTCCTGCCCCGCCCACGTCTCCTGCGCGGCCCACTCCTCTCCTGCCCCCGCCCACCTCTCCTGCCCCGCCCACTCCTCTCCTGCCCCGCCCACCTCTCCTGCCCCGCCCACTCCTCTCCTGCCCCGCCCACCGCACCTGCCTCCCGCTCCCCAGAGAGCCAAGGCCTGCTGCGCCCAGGCCAGCGCTGGCCCTGCCCTCAGGCCGCCTCTGCGCTCCCTCTGCTCACTGGTCCCTTGGGCTCACGGGTCCCCTCCTCTCTGTCTCTAAAGCCCATCCCCCACCCAGGCGTCTGTCCGGGCACAGGACCCAGTCGGACACGAGGGTCACGAGGACCGCCCTTCTGTCTGCTCTGGCTTCTCCGCGGCTCAGGGGACCTTGTCTGTCCCTCTCTCACTCACGCAGCGCCCAGCGCCCTGCACACAGTAGGCCTCACTGGAGGCCAGGTGGCTCCCAGTGACGTCATCGGGGCAAGGGGCGGGGGGCGGGGGGGGGGCCGCGAGCTACTGTCGCCTCCATCACCTCTGGTCCTCATCCCCATTTCACAGCTGGGGAGACTGAGGCTCAGTGGTGACGCCCCCCACGTCCCCCCAGTAGGAGAGGGAGGGTCTCCGATTGGAAGCCAAGGGGGGGGCACATCTGCAACTAGAGATGAGGTGCTGAGGCTGGCCCAGGTGGCTGCGCTGACACGGTAAGTCAGGGCTCTTCAACCAGGCAGGCTGGCCTCCCAGGAGACAGGGCCAGTGGCCAGGGGCATCTGCAGGGGTCACAACTGGGGAAGGGGTGCTGCAGTACCTAGGCAGACGCCAGGGTGCAGCTGGACACCCCACAACGCACAGGACGATTCCTTGCAGTGGGGAGAGCTGACCCGAAACGCGGCCAGCACCAAGGTGAGGGACGGCCAGGAGGGCCAGCAGGTTGTGCGCACACTGTGACCGTTACCGTCCTCCGCAGCGTGATTCACACCTCGCAGAGAAAGGCTGAAACGAAGAAAGGGATAAAGAAAACAGTGACCAGAAAAGGCGCGCAGCAGCTCAGTAAGCACACAGCCAAGGCCTGCGGACGGGGTCCACACCAAGGAGGGAAGTGGGACAGTAACAAAGCAATGGCTTTCCTGTCACCGGGGAAGGTGGCTGGCAGGAGGGAGCAGGACCCTGGCTGGGGATGCATCTGGCAAAGCCCTGGGGGGACCGGGAGCATCTCCCAGCTCTTGCAATGGACACCCCTGCCTGCCCCCCGGGGCCAGTGTTGTAGAAATGCCCAAGGCTGCATGAGCGGGCGTGGTGGCCACCCCTATCATCCCAGCAACTTGGGAGGCTGACGTAGGAGGATTGCAAGTCGGAGGCCAGGCTCAGCTACTTATCGAAGCCCTAAGCAGCTCAGCGAGACCCTGTCTCTAAATAAAATATAAAAAGGGCTGGGGGTGCGGCTCGGTGGGTAAGTGCCCCTGGGTGCAGTCCCTGGAACCAGAGCAAACATACCAACCCGAGGGCGCTGCAGGAGAGCCGCCCGCAAGGTCGTTCATAATGGGGAACATTTGGCAGGAAAACAGAACATCTGTGAAGGCAGGGTTGGCACATAGACCACGTCCCTCCACCCCTGGAAACCTGCAGCGGATCTCAGTGACAAGGCACACCTCTCAGCACGTGGGACCAGGGGGACTGCTAAGCAAGCCGCGGAGGCACTCAGGTCTGTTATCCAGATGGCAAAACAAGCCAGGGCAGACGCCACCAGGGCTCGGGTCTCTTCTGCTCCCTCTTCCTCACTGACTGGACCCCGATTTTGAGTGGGTGCAACGTGCCAGGCAACCCCACCCCCTCCCAGCCTCCCTGCAGCCTGGGCCTGCGAGAGAGAAGTCTCCTGGGCAGGGCTCCGAGGAGGTCACCAAGCCCCTGAGCTGGGCCCTCCTGGCCCTTCCCTGCCCTCCTGCCCTGGCTGAGCACAGGTGCCAGGCAGCCAAGAGCACTTTGGAAGTCACATCCCAGAGAGGGAGACCGACAGGGAAACTGGCCCTTGGGGACATCTCGGAGCAAGTCAGCGGCTGGGGCCTGCTCAGCCCGCGTCTCTGGCACCAGGTGACAGTGACCTGCACGCGGCCGCTGGGACCTGTTGTGCTTTCCTTGCCGCCAAAAGCCCTCCGGAGACGAGGAGATGCAGGGACTCCCCGGGACTCTGTGACCAGTGTCCCTCCTGCAGCTCAGCCTTCCTCTAGGAGAACCGAACTATAGCTGGAGCCTGGCCCGGCCTCTCCTGGCCGAATCAGCGTCTGCCGCCCTCCTCTGGGCCACACGGGGGCAGGTGGAGGGACCCTTGAAGGGAGTCGGCTTTCGGGGAAGGCTCCGTTCTCCAGATGGCGGGACTCACGCCCGGTCTGACCCGCGGGAGACACAGTGGACCAGCCAGACCGGCTGCCCGCTCACGACCCCCAGCCCAGACCTGCAGACCCCCGACAGTGGCCAGGAGGCCTCGCCCACCTGTTTGTCCTCCTCTTCCCAGAAGCAGGAGGCCAGCTCCCTTTATCTCAGGCCAAAGTCCCCCTGGGCACCAGGAGGAATGTCACCTGTCATCACGGGAAGGATGAGTCACCTCCTGGTGGCTGGAGGCCACAGCCCGCCTGACCTCTCTCTCCTGGCCAATGGCTCTCCTGGGTGGGGGGATGGGATTGTTGCCCTAAGACTGTGACACAGCCATCGTCCCTGGGGTGCTGACCTGGAGCGGGCCCCAGCAGGCTAAGGGCACAGCCTGGGTTCAGAGCCCCCCCCCCCGCCCCATGCCCTAGCCTCGTGACCTGGGCGGCCCCTTGCTAGACCTGTCGCCAGTCTTGATTGGACAGATGTCAGTTAGGCCAGCACTCAGGAGCAGGAGGGGTGCGGAAGGCACTCGGGCACCCGGGCCAGCCGAGCCGCGGAGCACAGGGGCAGAGACGCTCAGAACCGTCTCGACGATGATCTTAATAAGTGCAAACTGTTGTGTGTTAACTGAGGTTGGGCGACTTGGAGAGAAGGAAGGAGAGGGCATGGAGCACTGATGAAGGGGACCTGTTGACTTCCAGGGTGTTCCAGGAGGCCCCTGGACACGTTCACAGTTGGGAAAGGCCTGAGGAGCTGGGGCAGGGTGCTCATTGGCTACCTCTGGGAAGGGAGAGAGGGAGAGGAAAGAGCAGGTGCAAAGGCCCTGAGGCCACGGAGTGCCCAGTGTGTTCTGGGAGCAGGAGGCTAGCGTGTCTGAAGGGAGCCAGCACACAGGCAGGGGACGTGGGAACAGCAGCCACCCCAGACCTGGGGACAACCAGGACCTTGTCTTTCTGGGCCACCTGGGAGCCTCAGGAAGATGCTGAGAAGAGGAGGGGTGGGACTTGACTTCCTTCAGGTAGTGAGACGATGGCGGAGCGGAGGCAGCACGGGGGAGCGCTGGCAGGGTGTGGCTGTGTGGTCCTGGAAGGGGTGGGGTGGGGCTGGAGAAGCAGGACACTGAGGCTTTTGGCCGGGCCTAGAAGGACAGAGGCGCCATTTTTGAGGCCAAGGGGACTGTGGGGGAACAAGGGGCTCTGCTCTTCCCAGGTCCCCACCCAGCACGTTCCTCTGTGGCTGGACATTCAAGCCCGAGTTCTAGGCAGATGGGCAGCAGGACGGAGTGCCTGGACGTTCTTGTGGACACGGTATTCAGAGCCTCTATTTCTCTATGAGTAAATGGGGCCCACGTGGCCTCTGTCTGCAAGGTGCTATGAAGTTGGATTAAGCATGAGAGGCCCCAGGCAGGGCCCATAGCAGGTAAATGTCACCCCCAGTCCTCCCTGCCAAGTCCTCCGGTCCCCATCAGGTCATCATCCTTGTCATTGTCTCTGGTCTTACAGGTGAGGAAGGGGACATTCAGAGTGGTTAAGTAACTGATCCAAAGTCACACAGCTTGGACGCATCCTGGCTAGGATTCATGAGCTGAATCAGGACTCCTGCTCTTGGCCTTCGACCCTGCTGCCTGCTCCCAGCACCTGGCCCTGCAGTCCTGAACTGACCAGGCCACGGCAGCCGCCGTCAGGTGGGGAGAAGACCATGAAACGGAAATCGCTCCAGGCCCGACCAGACCTGCCCCACTGGGACCCAAACCAGACTCGGCCTGTGGTTGAGGAACATGACGATGCTGGATGCCCGAGTCACACCAGGTCTCCCCTCCACCAGCCACGTGTCCTGGAGGGGTGACGCATACCCGTGCCTCGGGTTCCCCACTTGTGAGGGGAGATGATGGGGTTTCGGGAGGACTGGTGGCGTGGCCCAGGCAGAGTGCCTACAACCAGGCCAGGAACTCAGTAGGTGTCTAATAAATGCAGGCTGCTGCTGCTGCTGTTGCTCTGGCCAGCTTTCCACTGTCACACGTGCCCAGGGCCAGGGGCTGCCCCCGCGCCTCGGGGTCCTCATCTCCCCTCATGGCGGCTGCCAGGGCCTCTGTGGTCTCCTTCCCGCCTGCGTCCCTGCAGCCCCAGCGGGCAGCTTTGACCCACGTTCCCAGCAGCCGGAAGCCCAGAGGGCCACTCAGGGGCTGATGGCCCCCACGGGCTGTTCTCACGGTGACCCCACTGGGCAGCAGCAAGGAGCACCTGATGGCCTCTGCACAAGCAGCGCGTCTGGCGGGTGTTGTGCTGAGACGCGGGAGCTGGCGGGGGGGGGGGGGGGGGGGGGGAAGCGACCTGCGGCCATGATGGGCACCTGGCGGTGGGGGCTGCTTGCTGGGGCCGAGGGGCCTTGGGCTCCGCGTGCTCTCGTCCTGTGATCCTGGGCATCTGTCGAAGCTCATCAGACGGAATCCGCATGTCGGTGACTTTCTGTCACTTATTATGAAAACAAAGAAGGGCTCGTTGCTCTTGTCAACACGGGTTCTGTGCCACCAAGAGCCCCACACAGCCCCGCTGGGGACCCAGAGCCAACTCAAGGCCCTTCCCCCCTCGGGTCCCACCCAAGGCCTCGGCACATGAAGGAGGACACTGGCAGCTGCAGAAGTGCTCTGCGCCCGGTGAAGGCGGCGTTGCCCTCCCTGCCCCAGCCCGGGCGGTTTCCTGGGCTGTCGCAGGGGCTCTGGAAGCTCCGCCAGCACCGGCCCTAGATGACAGCGGCGGAGGCTGGGTGGGGAGGCTCACAGAACAGGACGAACCAGCACCCGAGCCTGCCTGCACCTGCGTCTTCCCCTGCCAGACGGGAGGGCCGTGTGCCCGCCACCCGGGGCTGCTTTGGGGACCCAGGGGCAGGGTCAACCTGCAGCTGTGCTCCACGGACACTGGGCGTGGGCCTTGCTATCCTCAGGGATGGAAGGGGACGCTCTGGCCCTCCTCTGGAGAGCCCAGTCCCTCTTGAGTGGCGGCCGCGGTGGCCTGTGAGGGAAGGGCAGGCAGATGTGGCTGCAGGGACCCGGGGAGCGCAGCCACAGGCTGGTCCGGGCCCTGGGGTCGGCTCCCCGGCGGCCGATGGCTTCCTTCCTCTCCACTGGGTGCCAGGCAGGCCCAGAAACGCCTGATGTCAGCAGGCCACCCGCCCACGGAGGGGAGGAAGTGGGCGGGTGCCCGGACAGAGGCGCCGGCAGACGTGCCCCGAGGCGGCACAGTCAGGACTGACGTGGGCATCACGCAGCCGCTGCCGGGCGCTGGCCGGTGCGGTTGGCCCATGCGGGGCTCTTGGAGCGGAGAGGTCAGGGGTGCGGCGGGGTCAGGCCGGCACCGTGGCCGGCCTGCGGGGGGCGGGGCTGCTCCTGGGGGGTGGGTGGCGATGCGTCTGGGTGCAGCGTGGAGAGGGCCGGGGTTTGCGTGGCTGCAGTGGGCGTGCGTGTGTGACCGTGGGTGTGGGCTGGCCCCCGTGCACTGGGAGTGGACGGCCGGGGTGGATGGCCGCAGCGCCCACATGCCAAGCCCTCGATGCTGTGCCGCCGGTGCGCATGACCACGGGTGCCTGGGCGGCCCAGGCTAGGTCTTGGAGCGGGACCGCCCGGAGGGACTTGCGTGGCGGTGCGTGGCGGTGCGTGGCGGTGCGTGGCGGTGCGTGCTCGCCACTGTGGCGCCTGTCCCCCAGCCTGAGCATGCTCACGACAGGTGCAGCCGGGGGTCTCCACGTTCAGACTCCCAGTGGAAGTGGCCAGGAGCTCCCCAGAAAGACCAAGCGCAGGGACTGCCATCCGAACTGGGCCCCGAGCAAGGGGAACAGGGCCAGCTGCGAACACTGGGCCAGCCCCAGCTGCCCACCAGCCCTGTTGCCCCATTTCTGAACCCACAAGCAGCATCAAGGGCTTGACCGTGGGACACTCCGAGGCAGTCCCCAGCCAGACCAGCAAGGGATCAGTTTTCGGTCCGTCCTGCCAGTAGGAAGCATCCATTCACCCCCTCAGCAGTGTCTGCCCATCCTCCCCACGCTGTGCCCCACACTAGGGCTGCAGCCAAGGACGAGATGGACACAACACCCTTTGCAGCTGGCACTGATGTCCTGCTGGGAACCAATCTAAAATGAGCCGCATGGCAGGGGTTAATTGGTGATAAATGCTGTTGATAAAGATGAAGCAGGAAGGTGGCTGGAAAAGGGGGGGGTTCTGTTTCCAGAGGGCGGGCAGCCAAGACCTTAATGGGACACCGAGGTTTGAGAGAAGACTTGAAGGAGGTGAGGGGGAGCCATGGAGAGATCTAGAGGAAGAGCGTTCCAGGCCGAGGCCACAGTGCACAGGCCCTGCGGTGGGTGCTCACCTAGCTTGTCAAGAGGAAAGGGGAGACTTAATAGTCTAGGGTTTTTGTTTTTTTAACTGATGATAAAAGCAAACAGTGCTCGTGGAGCACCAAGCAGTAGAGAAATAAACCCAGGAGAAACTGAAAATCCCCAGTAACTGGAGGGCAGGAGGGGACGGTCACAGAGGGTAGGGATGTTTGTGGCCCGTTCACTTGGTGATCAGAGCCTCTTCCGTTGACAAGGCGGCATGGAAGCAGGGCAGCTGGGCCACTCCCCGCACAGCAGTGCCCGCCTCCCTGGCGGCTCCGGGCCCAGCCCTGAGAAGAGCTGGCTGCAGAGGTGTCCGCTCTGCCCCTGGTTCCCCCGGCCAGGGGTGATGGGGGAGAGGGGCGCGAACCCCCAGCAGAGAGCTTGACTTTCTCCCAAGTCCCCCCAGCCGGCCCCCAAGCCCCAGGGTGACAGCGTCGCCTCCTCCCCCCCCCCCCCCCCCCCCCCCGCTTTTATGAGCTGCGAGGGAGGCTTGTCCCGAGTTGCACAATCCCTAATTGCTGCTTCCTCTCGGTCATGAATTCTGTCGCGGCCGCACGTTATTAACCTCTCCGAGGCCTTATCGCCTGGAGCGCGGCCAGCGCCGGCCTGGCCTACTTTCCCACCGGATTCCAAAACCGCCTCCCTGCGCTCTCGGACTTCTCCTAAGGAGAGGCTGTGCCCAAATCTGCTAAAAATAAAATGTGGAGCAGGGAAGGGGGGCCGCGGGGCCGGCGCCCAGGCTGCACCCCGGGCTGTGGCCAAGCCCCTGCCGCCCAGAAGCTTCCCCGGGAGGCCTGTCCTTGGGCAGCGGGTCCCCATCAGGACAGGCCAAGCAGGGCTGGGAGCCAGGCGACCTGGGGCCAGTCCCGCCTCTGCCCCCCACTGGTCCTTGGTCCTTCATCCTGCCTTCTTTGCCCCATGGACATCTCCCGTCCCCGAGGGCTGGCTTCACGCTGGGGAAACCTCTGAGAAGGAGGCAGGCGGTCCTGGTCCTTGCAGAGCCTGTCATCCAGTGGGCAGAGATGGGCACACAGAAGAAACACAGGTGTCAGGGATGTTGCCGTCTGAGGTCAGCGAGGCTCCTTGTGGAGGTTGGGGTCATTTAAGCTGAGACCGAACAATGAGAGGAACCGGATCTGGCGCGTGCAGGACTGGAGTCAGGTGGGGCATCAGAGGCCACCAGTGTGTGGGATGCCAGGAGGCATCTGCTCCCAGACCTGCTCGAGGGCGTCTGGCATCGAGTGGGGGCCTCCTTGCTCCCCTCACCCTGGGCACCTGGCCCACCTAGCCCTGGGCATGCTGGGATGAAAATGAATCCCAGTGCAGGACAGAGCACATGCAAAGGCCCTGAGGTGGGGAGGAGCTGAGAGAGCCAGAGAAGGGTGTGGGCTAGGCGGGCTGGGAAGGCAGGTCACAGAGGGCCTCAGCAGCCACTGGAAGGGCTGGAGGGACAGGGATGGACTGTGAAGGTAGAGCTGCTGGCCCTGTGTGTACAACGGTATCTGCAGGGAGGTGGAGGCCCGGCACCAGGTCCTGGGCTGGACGGATGTGGTCCCTTCATTGATGTGCGGGACAGGTGGTGCTTCCTCCCGTCTTCTTTTCACCTGGGAACGCGGAGCTCCCCAGATGTGGTTGCAGGACCCGTAGCCTGGGGCCTGGCCCAGCGGGGCTTGGTGTGTTAGCTGGGGGCACCCAGCCAGACGGAGCGCCCAGACCCACGCTCCGAGGGGCACGGCAGCAGCAGAGCGGGGCCTGGCACAGGAGGCTCCAGAATGCAGCCTCGGCAGCGGAGGCTGGTCCTTCCGTTCCGAATCGTGCTTACTCGACGGGTTGTTTATCTGACTTGGCTGGAGCTGGGGGCCGGCTGTCCACGTGTCCTTTTAATCATGACACAAACGCACATGTCGACAGAATCAGAATCGGAAAACGCCAATAAGCAGAAAAGAAGGAGAAGAAACGGGGAGGGAAGGGGGGGCGGAAGGCCCCGTCTAAGTCCACATGTGCGGCCACAGGCGGTGTTGGAGGGCCTTGGCCAGCTGGCCCTGGCCGAGGGCAGGGCGGGAAGCACCCTGTGTCCAAGAAGAGGGACTTTTTAGCTGTTAAGATTAAATAGCGCCTCGATCCTGGGCGCCCTGGGTGCGTGGAGAGGGGCCAGGGATCAAGGCAACTGGAAGACGGGCGCTGGCGGGGTGGCGAGGGCGTGGCCGGGCGGCGGGGGCGTGGCCTGGCGGGGGCGTGGCCTGGAGGCGGGGCGTGGCCGGGCGGCGAGGGCTGGGCAGGGAGCTGTCGCGGGCAGCGCTGGCGCGCCCAGGCCTCCCTGGCACCGGGCTCAGGGCGGGCGGGGAGAGGTCCTGGCCATCGTCCTGCCCAGCGACGCTTCGGGGGCCAAGTCTCCCCTTGGGACACGGAGACTTTTAAAGGGCCAGGGCCCGGGTCTTGGCGGCGGCCGGGGCCTGCGGGGGAGGCGGCCCGCGCCCTCGCTGCCCTTTCGTCTCGTTTTACAGGTGGACGTCGGGTGCGGGCGGAGCCGTAAAGGGCTTTGCCTGCTTTGAAATGAGATTCTTGAGAGCTTTGATCTGGTGCCCTCCATCCTGCTGGTGGGGACACAGGCCAGGGGCGG